TAATGGTGAACCACACGTAAGGATGACAGCTCCATGCCCCCCTCCCGCTACTGAAATCATTGGAAGTACTAGCCAATATGATTAGACAAGAAAACATAAAAAGTGTACAAAATGCAATTTTCGTCAAAGTCACAGCAAGATCTGTAGACATGGACAAGCTTATTTTAAAATTTAGATGGAAGGAGCGCCTGGGTGGCTTAGTCGGTTAAGCGTCCGACTTTCGCTTAGGTCATGATCTCGCGGTTCGTGGGTTCGAGCCCCGCGTCGGGCTCTGTGCTGACTGCCAGCTCAGAGCCTGGAGCCTGTTTCAGAGTCTGTGACTCCCTCTCTCTCTGACCCTCCCCTGCTCACGCTGTCTCTCTCTCTCTGTCCTAGAAGTAAATAAAACATTTTTAAAAAATTAAAAAAAAATAAAATTTAGATGGGAAAGCACTAGACTTAGAATAGGAATAAAATTGTTTTTGGAACAGTTGTTTTGGAACAGGTTTTTAAAGTTTATTTATTTTGAGAGGAAGAGAGAGAGAGAGAGAGCGTGAGCAGAGGAAGGGTAGAGAGAGAATCCCAAGCAGGCTCCACGTTGTCAGCACAGAGCCTAAGGTAGAGTTTGAACTCACAAACCGTGAGATCATGACATGAACTGAAACCAAGTGGTGGACGCTTAACTGAGCCACCAGGTGTCCCCAAAAACAATTAAAAACATTTTTTTAACATTTATTTATTTTTGAGACAGAGAGTGACAGAGCACGAGCTGGGGAGAGGCAGAGAGAGAGGGAGACAGAATCTGAAGCAGGCTCCAGGCTCTGAGCTGTCAGCACAGAGCTCAACGTGGGGCTTGAACTCACGGACTGCGAGATCATCACCTGAGCCGAAGTTGGCCGCTTAACCAACTGAGCCACCCACGTACCCCAACAATTTTTGAAAAAGAAGAAAAGTGAGAGGAATAACTGATGTTAAGGCTTACTATTTAGCCACAGTAACCAAGAATGGTTTGGGCTTACACATAGGTCAATGGAACAGCATAGAGAACTCAAAAATGGACCCACAAAACCATGCTGAGCTGATTTTTGACAAATGTGCAAAACTATTCAGTGGGGGAAAGGATACCCTCTTCAGTGAATGGTGTTGGAGCAGTTGTATATCTGTGATATAAAAAAACATATATTTGGTCATTGTCCCTAATTCCTGGAACAAACCCCTAGAATTTCCTGAGTGATAGGAGTGTCTTGATGTTTATAGAGAGCTCATTTTGACCACACCCGAGTTTATGCTGATAAGGTGACTTGCGTTGGGGCCTCTAGAAAGCTTCAGGAGGGGTAAGCATCACTAGAAGGAAGGTAGGAACTTTGAGCCCCCTTACCTAAATCTCCGGGGAGGGAAGGGAGGCTGGAGATTTGTTTATAAGAACTGGTGGACAGAGCTTTTGGGCTCACGAACACGCTGATGTGCTGAGAGGAAGACATTCCTGGAGGATGCAAAGGAGATTTGTACACACTGCCCTTACCCCCACCCTTGCCCTATGTACCTCTTCCATTTGGTTCCTAAATTACATCCTATTTTACTAAATTTGGAAACTTAAAGTGTTTTCTTAAGTTCTGTGAGTCATTCTAGTAAATATTTGTACCCGAGATGGGGACCAGGCAACCAGTGAATCTGTAGTCAACTGAACACAAATGTGTGTAGCGTATGGCCATCTTATGAAAGAAGAAGACTGTGAAAACAGTCTTGTGTGACTAAGCCCTTGAACTGTGAAGTTTGCATTAATTCTGGGAACTCTCAGAATTGACTTGTTGGACATCCAGTTGGGTTGGAGAATTGGTTGGTGTTAGAAAAAAAACTTGCATACTTGGGTGTTAGAATTAGTGTCAGAAAAAAGATGCCCAATATCCACAGGGGGAAATCGAACTTCAACACAAATTTCACCTCTTGTACAAAATTTAAGTCAAAATTGATGATTGAGTTAAATGTAAAAAGTAAAGCTATAAAACTTTAGGATAAAATATAGGAAGAAATCCTTGGAGCTAAGCAAAGAGTTCTTAAACTTGACACAAAAAACATCCACTAAAGGAAAAAGTGACAAATTAAACATCATCTCAATTCAGATCCTTTAGTCTGCTAATGGCCCTGTTAAGCGACTAAAAAGACAAGCTACAGACTAGGAGAAATCATTTGCAAACCATATGTCTGATGAAGAACGTATCTAAAATATGTTCTAAATAACATACATATAAGTATCTATGTTCTAAATAAATATTTCTCAAAACTCAGTCGTTTTTTAAAAACTAAAATATGGGCCAAAGACATGAACAGACATTTCACTGAAGAGGATATACAGATGGTGAACATGAATATGTCCTACATTAATTAGGGAAATGCAAATTAAAAGTACAATGAAATGTCACTACACATATATCAGGAGCGTTAACATAAAAAGATGGCAAAACTAGGGTTTCTGGCTGGCTTGGCTGGTGGAGTGTGTGACTCTTCATCTTGGGGTTATAAATTTGAGGCCCACAGTGGCTACAGGGATTACCTTAAATTTTTAAAAATAAAAACAAAAAATGGTAATACCAAATGCTGGTCAAGAATGTGGAGAAACTTGTTCACAAACACATTTTTGCTGGAAATGTAAAATGGTACTACCACTCTGGGAGAGTATGACAGTATGCTACAACACTAAACATGCACTTGCCATATAACCCAGCAGTTGCACTCTTGGGCATTTATCCCAGAGAAATGAAGACATATAAAGGTTCACACAAACATTTACACTAATGTTCACTGCAGCTTTATTTGTAATAGCAAATACTGGAAACACCCAAAATGTCCTTCAGTGGGTGAATGTTTGAACAAACTATGGTATATCCAAACCATTGAATACTACTTTGCAAATGTGCAAAGTAAATGTGCAAATGTGCAAAATAAAAAGGAACTATTGAGGGGTGCCTGGGTGGCTCAGTCGGTTGAGCGTCCGACTTTGGCTCGGGTCATGATCTCACGGTTCGTGGGTTCGAGCCCCGCATCGAGCTCTGTGCTGACAGCTAGCTCAGAGCCTGGAGCCTGCTTTGGATTCTGTGTCTCCCTCTCTCTCTGATCCTCCCCTGCTCATTCTGTCTCTCTCTCTCTCAGAAATAAATATTTTTTAAAAAAAGGAACTGTTGATACATACTTGAATGGATCTCAAAGGAATTATATTCAGTAAAAAAAGCAAATCTCAAAACGTTACCTACCCTGAGATTCTGTTTATATGACATTCTAGACAGTGCAAAACTATAACCACAGAAAACAGATTAGTGGTTGCCAGGATTGGGGGAGGGGAAAGAAGCATCAGGAAGAAGGGTTTTTTTTGTTTTTTTGTTTTTTGTTTTTTTATGGCATTCACTTTTGAATGTCCCTTCCCTGTAAAGAGAGTTTTCCTACTATTCTTACTTTCGGACTTAAACTCTAATAAACCTGGCCGGCTGCTCATTAAAACAACAACAACATCAAGTTTGTTGTGCAGCGTATCTCTGCTTTGTGTTGGTCGTTATACAAGTTAAAATTCATAGAGCTGAATGCCCCAAAATGTGAGTGTTGTATTTATTTATTTTCTTTTAATGTTTTTTATTATTTATTTCTGAGAGACAGACAGCATGAGCGGGGGAGGATCAGAGAGAGAGGGAGGCACAGAATCTGAAACAGGCTCCAGGTTCCGAGCTAGCTGTCAGCACAGAGCCTCATACGGGGCTCGAACCCACAAACCGTATCATGACCTGAGCTGAAGTCGGACACCTAACCGACTGAGCCACCCAGGTTACCCGAGTGTTGTTGTATTTAAGTAAAATATGTAAATAAACTGATTAGATACACATTGTAAAAAATGAAGTTTACACAAAATGTGAGTCTTATAAATTCTTGTTATTTAGAAAATTCTGGAATGAGAGGCAGCATCCTAGCCTTTGCCCTGTTTATGCTGTCTAGTGAAGTGGTAGCATCTACTTTGGCCTTCTGAGCACATCACTCACCACCGTTGGCTTTCTTACATATTCCTCCATTTTAGCGGCTCCTGAAGCCCCCAGCATGGCTAGTTTTCAAATTCTATCAGTTCCTTGGATCTGCAGAACCAATCTCCCTTTCTCGCGAATCAGCCTCTCTTGGTCCCAGTGCCTTCATGTCTTTGTCTCTGCGTGTCCCCACCGCCATTTCTTGGGATCTGAGTCCATCTCTGTTGTCTCCACGTTTCTGCTGCTTCTCTGGGTCTTCTTAGCTCAGTCTCTTGTCTTTGGGTCTGTTTTCCCAACTCTGGGTCTAACAGTTTTGGTCTGTCCCTGACTTGGTCACTGTCTCTGGGTCTCTATCCATATCTGAGTCTCCCATCTCTCGACCTCCCCCTTTTTAAAGTAGGCTCTACCCCCAATGTGGGGTTTGAACTCACGACCTCCGCCTCAAGATGGAGTCGCGTTCTCTACTGACTGAGGTACCCCTGGACCTTATCTCCCTTTTAAAAAAGTTTTTTAAAATTCTTTTTTTAAGTATTTTTTTAAGAGAGGGAGACAGAGGGAATCTCCAGTAGGCTCCACGCGGTCAGTGCAGAGCCCGACACGGGGCTCGATCCCACCAACAATGAGATTATGACCTGAGCTGACACCAAGAATCCAAAGCGTAATAGACTGAGCCACCCAGGAACCCCTCGAGCTCCCCTTTTTGATCTTTCTCCCTTTCACCGTGTCTCTGCCTTTCGCCTCCCCTTGTCTCTTTCCCCTCCTCTCGGTGTCCCGCCATCTCTGATCCTCTGGGGCTCCTTGTCCCCCTCTCTCCATCCTTGGGTTTGCGGGTCCTGGGTCCTCTTGTTTCCGTCACTCCCTGTCGCTGTGTCTCCTGGTCTGTCTCTCACTGCCTCAGTCTCTCTCGGCGGTATTTCCCCCTCCACCTGTTACACCGCGTTGCTAAGGCTCGAACGCCTGCACCCCGGGGACGAGACGTGGGGCAAGGCCAGCTCTGCCTCTGATTGGCTGTCCTTTCAGCCGTTGCGTCTTCGCTCCGCCCCAGCCCTGGGGAACGGGCCGCTGCATTCTCGAGGTCGAGTCCGCCGCGCAGGCCCAGCGCGCACGCGCAGTCTGACCTGACGCCATCGCACCGAGCTCCTGGCGGCTCGAACCGGCTTGGACCCGCTACGCAGGAGGTAGGTCTGGCTCTGCAGGGCGCTACACCGTGCTTTTCCTGAGCGGATTCTAGCGGCCCCGCCAGTGTGTGCAGCGCGGCAGCGTTCGGAGGTGGGGGCAGGGAACGATCCCGGGCGGGGGAGGAGAGGGAGGAGAGGGTGGGGACCCGGGAGGGGGAGGGGAGGAGCCCCTCCCGGGAGGGGGGAGTACGAGTGCGGTGGGGGATGCGATCCCCCGGGTGGCGGTTGGAGGGGGCAGGGCCGAGAGACCGCAGGTGGACGAGGTGTGGTGTGGGAATAGGGAGGGGTTAAGGGCACCGTCCTGCGGCTTGGGAGAGGGAGGGGGTTACGAGAGGGGACTTGAGGGTCGAGGGTGCCCCTAGTGGAGGGGGGGGTGCAGCCTGTGGCGTCCCAGGAGGAAGCAGAGAGGGGGCAGAGGGTCCCCTAGTGTGCGTTCACCTGAATCAGGGGTGGTTCTGGGCCGTCCTAGGGTGGGTCTGGGGTGGGACCTAGGGTGAGGGGTTGTCTGTGCCCCCGGGTCCTCGAGGCCCTCAGACCCCTTGCCTCTTCCCAGTGGTCTGGGGACGGCTTCAATTTGAATTGTCTGCTCCTGCTCTAGGATCCCTCTGGTGGGCGCAGAAATCCAAGAGAGAGGGCAAGAATGGGTGGCCAGTGATGCTGCTGGGGAAGGGGCCGGCAAGGGAGAGTGGGGACGACTGAGATATTTTTTAGACCTTTCATTGAAGACTTTATGGAAAAGCTCTAAGGAGAGGCCTTAGAATTGCATGCCTTTTTGTCAGATTCATCTGTTAGTATTTTGTACGGGTTGTGCCATTTTCTCTCCTCATCCCCCACTTCCTCCCCACTCTCCCTCTGTCAGGCTCCCTCCTCTTCTCCCCTTCCCACCTCCTCCCCCACCCTCACAAACACACATGTACTGAGCTGACACCGTGGAGGCTAAGGTGCACAACCTCACTGTCCTCTGCTCCGTACCAGGGTCTCGCCTCCCACTGGGCCAGTCCCCACAACAACGTCCTGTAAAAGTTTCCTTTCCTGATACAGAGCCACATGTGTATTGCTGCTGTTCCTTGAGTCTGTGAGTTCTTGTCCTTCAGGTTCTGTCCCTGAGGCTTTTGGGCCAGTTGTGCAGGAGGTTTCTTGATTTTGCATCTGTCCGCTCTGGGGTGGGTCCAGAGTGTGTGCTCTTGCCAGGGACCACAGAAGGCAGTGTGGTTTTTTCCAGTCTGAAGGCACCTTTCCCCTCTTTGTAATTGGTGAGTAACTATTGGGTGAGGCCGGGAGACCCTGTGAATGTCCTGAGTAACCTGAGGTGAGACTGGGGAGAGGGGAAGGGGGGCCGGTCTGGGCCTGAAGAGGCGGGAACTAAGCGTGAGCTCTGCTTAGCCCAGTGGGAAGAGGATTTGCCTGCAGGAGGCCTCCAGGGCTGCTAAACTCCGCTGCCCTCTTCTCCTCCCCCCCCCCCCCCCCCCCCCCCCCCCCCCCCCCCCCCCCGCCACCATGGCTTCCTCTGCATCCCAGGACCAGAAGGGCAAGGCCCACGGGCTCAGCTTCAGACATGTCCATGGGGGTGCAGGGGGAGTCTGGGCTCCAGGAAATTTCCATCTGCATCTGAGGCAAATCCTGAGTGGCCCTGAGATATGTGTGTGATGGGGGAAGTCTGCCTGGTGAATGAGCCAAGAGGAGTTTGGGCAGTGGGGAACGGCCTCGCTCAAGGACTCTGGGAACAGGAAGGAGTTTGGTCCCTCTGCCTAACAAGGACATCCTCACAGCAGCATGACCAGGTTGTGAGCACGGTCATAGTGGGTGGCGGGGGTTAGGCTGTCTCCTATGGGCTGCAGTGGGTCACAGCACAGGCCCAGTGGTCCACGTATCCCACTTGTACGTTTAGCTTCCAAATATATTACCAGCCTGATCCCAGGGAGTAATAGCCAGTGAAAATTCGGCACAGCCAGCGAGGCTCTCGGTGAAAACGGTTTATGCAGTCAGCAGGTGCTGAGCCAGTCAGTCCAGAGACCTACCACTGAGCAGCCCCTGCTGTCCTGTGGTTCGTGTTCCAGTGCAGGAGGCAGGTGGAAGGCAGGGGGGGGGGGAGTGAGGAGGTGTGGATGGGAAGGACTGAGCAGGCAGTGGAGGGAGCGTCTCCCTGGGGGACCCTTCAGAGCCCAGACCCGCCTAGGACAGCGGAGCCGCCACGGGGAACAGGGTGGGATGAGGTAGGGGTTGTGCCAGGGAATGGAGGGGAGGAGATGAGGGGAGGGCAGTGAGAAGGGTGGCCCCAGAGGGCTTTTTCTTCCTTGACGGACACGGACCTCTCTGCTCAGCCTGGGCTGTCGGCGAGCGGAGTGGTCGGCACTTCCATCTCTGCTAGCTTTTTCCTCTACTTTCCAGCAGCTTTATTGAGGTGTAACTGCCAAACCAAAAGAGGTCGCCTGTAAAGCGTGCACTTCAGTGGTTTTGTGCGTGTTCGCAGTTGTACAGCCAGCACCACATCTGGTTTTACGACATTGTCATCACTCCGTGAAGGAGGGCTGCCCCGGCAGCAGTCGCTCTGGCCCTAACCCCCTCGCCTGCGCCTGGCAGCCACGGAGCTGCTTTCTGTGTCTGTGGATTTGCTGGGCCAGTACCTGGAGTCCCGTATGACAACCCCACGGCCCCGAGGTCCCCGGCCCCAGGCGCTGGTGAAATTTCAGAGCAAGTCTTCGCTTTGCCGGGAGGAAGTCACTGACGCCCGGTCCTGCATCGCAGAGTGTTCTCTGGAAAAGTGGGGTTGCTGAGGAAACATCCTCACCACAGCTGTGCTCACACACGCTTTCCTAAGTTCTCAGGCATGTTCGGAAGAAAACGTGGTTGGTTTCCGTGGCTCAGCCCGGGGGAGCAGTCCCACAGGGCTCTCTTTGGGGGCGTCCCCCTCCCAGAGGTGTCTGTGGGGCCCTTCCAGGTCTGCGAGGAGAAGTGCAGACGCCGCAGGCCCGGGGAGCGGCTGGAGCTCTGTCCCTGGGCGCTCACGGCCGGTGAGAACGTCGTCGACCCGGAGCCAGCCGCTGGAGGCCTGGCCAGCCACTGCCTTGCCGGGTTCTGTCGTTCGGCTTGCTCGGCGTTTGCCAAGGGGAACAACCAGGAGATTTCACCTGAAGATCCCAAATCTAGCTACTGCCCATCAGAATCAGCTCGGGGAAGGGAGGAGGCTGACAGGACCTGAACTCCCCCCCCCCCCCCCCCCCCCCCTAAACACCACAGTCCCTCCCCTCTCCCTGCCATTGAACCCTACTCCTGGCCAACCTCTGCCTCCCACCTGGCTCTGTGGGTGGGTCAGGCCAGGTCTGTGCAGTCCTGAGTCATTTCCAGAAATAGATGCTGGTTGTCCATTGATCTGCATTGTTGACCCTTGAACAAGGTGAGGGTTAGGGCATACCTGAAAATCTGCATATAACTTTTGACTTCCCAAAACTTGACTGCCGATAGTCTGCTGTTGACCGAAGCCTTACTGGCCACGTAAATAGTCAATTAACCTGTACTGTATACATTATATATATATCATGTACTGTATTCTTATGATAAAGCGAGTTAGGGAAAAAGTGTTAACATTTTACCAAAGAGAAAGTGTGTTTACGGTATCGTAATGTATTTTTAGAGAAAATCCTTCTTAAAGTGGACCCATGCCGTTCAAACCTGTATTGTTCAAGAGTCAGCTGTATTCAGATTTTTAGTTGTCTTAGGAAGAGGAACAGTCTTAGTGCTTAGCCCTCCCAGACGTGGCAGGAAATCTGGGATCTATCCAAATCTGGCATGATACCCCATACATCGAGTATACGTTGTTGGAATGAACTTAGTCATGTTTTACATTTTTTATCTCTGAAAGTGAGATCGTCCTGTAACTTTTCTTTCTCCTGACTGTTTTTTTAATCCTGGTAATAGTTGTCTTACAAAGTGTGTTGTCATCTCCAACTTTTAATGTTCATTTTTATGTGTACACGTACAAGACTGCTGATACTTAACAAGCAGATTGCTTGGAAATCGGCGTGGACTCTGGGCATGGAGGGTGAGGCTGAAGAGCTCAGCCCCGTGTTGTGGTCTGGATGCCCCATGGCTTGCTTCTCACTGTGTAGGCTTGTCTGTCTGTCCTGTGCAGGTCTGGACTGGGCTGAGATCCCAGAGCATCTCGCCATACCTGGTGTCTCTCCGTTGCAGCTGCAGTTACGTGAACTTGCCCTCCACGACAGGTGCCCTGTCCCTGGCCAGTCGCATTTCCCGGCGCAAGTTTGGAAAGATGTTGCCTTTGGAGAAGGCGTTTGCCACCCCCAGGAGCTCCCCAGCCCCCCCAGAACTGCCCATGCTAGGGTCAGCTGCTGAGGACCAGCAGGAGGACTCCAGGAGTGGCCTCGGGGAGCTCCCTGCCAACCTTGAGTCCTCCCGCCTCCATTTCCGGAACTTCATCTACCAGGAAGCGGCCGGGCCCCACCAGGCCCTGGACCAGCTGTATGAGCTGTGCCGCCAGTGGCTGCAGCCCGAGGCGCACTCCAAAGAGCAGATGCTGGAGCTGCTGGTGCTGGAGCAGTTCCTGAGCGCCCTGCCTGACACAGTACGGTCCCAGGTGGTGGCCCAGAATCCTGAGAGCTGCCAGAAGGCAGCCTCCCTGGTGAAGGACCTCGGCATGGCCCTGGAGGAGCCAGGTGAGGCCACAACCCCAGAGGAGAGCACAGCTCAGAAGAGCTAGGAAGAGGATGGTCAGCCCTGGGAGGAGTAAAGTTGACAGCATAGGGCCCAAACTCCGGTCAGCCTGAGAGTTGGATTCTGTGTATAAGGCACAGAGGTGAGCAGCCCTAAGCTGCTGGGGTAGCTCCTTCGCAGGGAAACAGCCCTACCACCCTGCCCAGAGTTGCCTCATGGGCTGGGAAGGCTGCTTCGGCTCCTGCCCTCACATCGGCCCTCCAGATAGAAGGAAGCAAGGGGATCCAGCCCCTTAAAAACAGTAAATGTTCTGGGCATCTATTTCTACTCCCTCAGTACGGGAAGAGGAGCACTGGGGCTGGGTGGGCGGAGTCTCCACCATATCAGAGGGCGACGCCTGAGGGACTGCTGGTGATGGGGTCCTGGAGCCTTTGTCCCCTGCAGGGTCACTGTTTGACTGTTAGCACATCTCTAACGTCCCTTCAAGTGTAAACGGGGATGCTGTTGAGTCTGCTGTGGGGCTGTCCACAGCTTTGAGCGAGGGGCAGTGTGGGAACCACACTGAGCCTTTGCCACCTGCTGTTATTACCAGATGGGCCCGTGAGTTCCGGTGAAGACGTGGAACCGGGTGAAGATGTAGAACCTAGCGAAGACGTGGAACCCAGTGAGGCCGAGGCAGCCCCCGACACCTGTGAGTGGCCAGCTAGCCCTGGGGCGGGTGTGGGCCAGGGCTGCGTTGGGGGCAGGCATGAGGGAGACTCCATGGAGGTTCTCATGGAAGCCGAGGCCTGGCAGTCTGTGCTGTAACTCTGATTTCTTCGTGTAGATTCTGGTGAATGTGACGGCTACTTATAATTTATCTTCAAAGATTATGCAGGTTAACGTGCTTTACCGTAAACACTGAAAGCATTGAGATACAAAGAAAATCTCCCCACCCCAACTAACACCAAGTACTGTGCCCTGCCTTGCGTTCCTTCATCTCGTGCGGGCACATATCTCAGCCATGAGCCTGCGCAGAGTTTGTGGCCAGTTTCCCTGGAGACGATTTGACTCGTGCTGGAGCTTGTGCTGTTGGCATGGAGCAACGTCTCACCCACCCAGGCCCATCCAGGCAGTGGCCAGTGCCGTCTCCTCACGCAGGGCCGTGTCCTCACCCAGTGCCAACTCCTTACCTTCTTGGCATTTCACAGGATCCGCCCTTCCTTGACCTGGAGTTGAGATTTACGGCCATTAAGGTTTCTGCCTCTTCCTACAAATGTGCTGTGAAATGTCTACAGGCATGTGCCTGGTGTGGACGTTTTGTGTGTGTAGGCGGGTTCCTCAGGATCACTGGACAAAGGACATTTCTGCGTGGTTGTGCGGAAGTTTTGTAGCACGTATGCTGCCAGTGAACGAGGTGCCTGTTTGCCCACATCTGTGCCGTGTTGTGTCATTGCCTTTTAAGATTTCCACCAATCTAATGGGTAAAAAAGTGTTACCTGCTTTGTGGCTTTCGTTAAAATTTCTGGGGCCACTATTAACCTTGCTTTCTTCTTCGTTGTTCTGTTCTGTCACTGAAGACAATTGTAGGGTCCCTTGAGCCTGAGACCTACCGTGACATGAGTGCTCAGATCTTCTGCCTCTGAGTCTGACAACTCTTCACTCTCTTCCTGGGGCCTGTGCACGGGGGGGCAGTGGGGTCTCCCTGATTGGCTTGGGCTTCCCAGCTCTGTGACACTAGTCTGCTCAGGTCTGTGTCCCCTTCTCCCAGCCTGTCCTGCTGCAGACCCTGCGCTTCTGGAACAGGAGTGCGCCGGGGACAAGAAGCCCGAGCCGCCCAAGCCTGCAGAGGCTGAGCCGAAGGTGGGTGGAGTCTCTCTTACCCAGGGTTCACAGGGCCTGTCCCCAGGGAGGCGGAGCTGTCCCCCTAGCTTATTAGGCTCTCTCCCTGCCCCCATCCTTAATATGCTGCCAGCTGCCCCCCTCGGGGAGAGAAGGGGGCCCAGCCACAGGAGGGGGGATCTGGGCTGAGGTTCCTGGGCTGCACACCTAGGCTGCTCCCTCCCCCGGAAGGCAAGAGTGGGTGAGGGTGAGGCAGGGAGAAGTCTCTGGAATCAGAGCAAAGGGGCCCAAGTGCCCCCTTGGGAGTGCTGGACAGGTGGTCCCTTTCTGTCAGCCCCCCACCAACCTGGTTTGTGGTGACTGCCTGGCCCCAGTCCCTCTAGCTGCTTCCAGTGCCCTGTTCTGTTGTTTCTTCCGGGTGGGTGTGCTGTTCTGCCGCCTCACTTCCTGCCAGGCCAGCTGCCCCTGTCCCGCAGGCTCCCCTCCCCACTCCCGTGCCCTCTTCTGCACTCTGGGCCTGAACATGCCCTTTCCCCTGCCCGGAAGACACATCCCCCAGCCTTTGTGGGCCCCGTGGCGCTGTCTACTCTGTGGCCTTTGTCATGGGCGACTGTCTGCTTATCCTAAGGGCAGTAAGCGTGGCTTACCCCTCTCCCCCGGGTGCCAGCCTGGGGCCTGTACAGGGACGAAGGAGATAGGAGACTTTGGGGTTTTGTCCCTCCAGGAGACATTCGGTGATCTGTGGGTACAGTTCTGGTTGTCGTATTTGGGTGGGGGAGGAGGTGCTGCTGACACCAGAGGGAAGGGTCGGGAAACGTCCTGCAGTGCCTGGGACAGGCTCTGCCAGAAGAAAGTCCATGGTGCTGAGGCCAGAAACCCAGCCCCCGTGTTAACCTGGGATCTGGGTCCAGGGCCTGCTAGGTGGTGGGTGGGCACCCTCAGGATGGTGCCACCCCCGCTGTGCTCGCTGTGGTCGAGGGTCCACCCTCTCTCTGGACGGGAAGCCTCAGCTGTGGTGGTGCTGCCGTTTCAGAAGTTGACGTTTCCGGAGGTGCCTCTGTACCTGGGGGAATGGGGCCACCTGGACCCGGCAGAGGAGAACCTGAAGACCTTCCGGAAACTGCTCCTGTGGGGTGAGACTTGTCCCCCACAGCCTCATGCTGCACCCTGTGTCCTCTCTCAGGAGCTTTGGCCTAGGGGATTCTGACTCCCACATGGAACTTTGGTTAAGGCCCCACAGTGTTTGTTTTTTTAATGTTTGTTTATTTATTTTTTAATATTTTTATTTATTTCTGGGAGAGAGAGAGAGACAGCGTGAGCAGGGGAGGGTCAGAGAGAGAGGGAGATACAGACTCTGAAATAGGCTCCAGGCTCTGAGCCGGCAGTCAGCACAGAGCCCGATGTGGGGCTCGAACCCACGAACCGCGAGATCATGACCCAAGCGAAAGTCGGACGCTTAAGCGACTAAGCCACCCAGGCGCCCCTATTTATTTAAAAAAAATTTAATATTTATTTTTGAGAGAGCACGGGCAGGGGAGGGGCAGAGAGAGAGGGAGACACAGAATCCAAAGCAGGTTCCAGTCTCTGAGCTGTCAGCACAGAGCCTAACACACAGGGCTCAAACCCATGAACCACAAGGTGATGACCAGGCATCCCAGTGTTTATTCTTTTTTTTTTTTTTTTTTTTTTTAAATGTTTTTATTTATTTCTAAGAGACAGCGTGAGCAGGGGAGGGTCAGAGAGAGAGAGGGAGATACAGAATCTGAAACAGGCTCCAGGCGCTGGGCTAGCTGTCAGCACAGAGCCCGACGTGGGGCTCGAACCCACGAACCGTGAGATCATGACCTGAGCCAAAGTCGGACGCTCAGCCGACTGAGCCACCCAGGCGCTCCAGTGTGTGTATTCATTTTTGAGAGAGAGCACACATGTAGGTGGGGAAAGGGTAGAGAGAGGGAGGCAGAGGCTCTGAAGCACGCTCCATGCATACAGGACAGCGCCCAATGCAGGTCAAACCCAAGAACCACGAGATTGTGACCTGAGCCAAAGCAGGAACCTTAACCTACTTGAGCCACTCAGGCACCCCAAGGCCCTACAGTGTTTTAAACGAATTTGACTGTGAATGAGTTCGTTGGTGTCCCCACCTTGGCCCCACCCTTCTCAGTCTACAGGGCTGAGCCTTGCCAGAGCCCTGGGCTTTTGAGTTTGCAGCCCCTGCTTGTAGGACCCATAGCTTCTGAATGTGGAAAGGCCGCCTGGCCCCAGTCGTCAACTTTACTGTCGTCCTTGGTGCACAGATGGGGCCTCTCGGCCTTCATGGCTCTTCCGCCTTGAGTGGACATCACTGCCCACAACACAGGCCCCAGCACAGACTTCCAAGCTCTTTATGGCTGTAGTGTTAACGTTCTTTTCTGACTTTGCGTTGAATTTCCCCACTTCCCTATTGGCCCTCCGCTCTGTCTCGGGGGACCCTCTTCACCCCTTCCCCCGTGTTCTCAGAGCCCCCAGCACTCCGGCGCTCTGAGCGAGGCAGCTTTGGTGAGTGTCCCAGGGCAGAGGAAAGGACTGAGGCCTTGCTGCCTCCCCTGGCCAGCCTGTGGGACTTGAGACGCATTGTCGGCTACTTTCTATTCTGGTTTCAGTGTCTCTCTCAGTTTTTGTGTTTTCTGATCCCACTCAGGGTTTCAGCTCGCCCAGCCCGATGACCCCTGCAGGCTGGAGACTGAGGAGCTTCGGTTGGTTGATACAGAACCGCCGGAAGGCAGCTTCTCAGGTGAGGCCTAAGAGTTATAGTGAGGCCAGGGCAGAGGGGGTGCCTTTCTGAGGCTGGTAGAAGCTCCTCACAGCTTCTCAACTTTGACCTCTCTCTTCTCCCACCACCTGTCCCGTACTTTGGCCGCTCCCCACCCCAGTGTCCAAGCAGGAAGCAGGAATCTAGCTTTTGTAACCATCTGCGCTATGTAACAAACTGCCACCAAACTGAATCTCCTAAACAACATCAGTGTGGGTTGTTAGGATCTTGTGGATTGACTGGGCCGGGGGTCTGTTCTGCTCCCCTTGCTGGCTGCTAGGCCGTGTACACAGCCATAGTCGTCGGGACGCTTGGCTGAGCTGGAGTGTCCCGGGCAGTCTGTCTCACACCAGCGGCAGTTAGTGCTGGCTCTTGCCAGGCAGCTCTGCTGAGGCCGTCAACCCGTGTTCTCCGTGTTGCCTCTCCAAGTGGTTAGCTTGAGCCTGCTCACGGCATGGCAGCTGGGTTCTGGAGCATTCCAGGAGGGGAAGTACCATTGTGCAGGTGCTTTGCAAGCCTTTGCTTGCATCGTGCATGCTTAATGTCTCATAGACCATAGTAGGTCACGTGACCAAGCCAGTGTGCATGGTTTGTATGTGTACGTGTGTGTGGGAGGCACACACCAAAGGCCCAGATCCCAGGAGACAGGCTTCATTGGGGTCCGCCATTGTAACACGTTAGTCACTGCACAAGGGATCATTTGGCCCTTCCCGGTGAGGGACGCAGATTCCCCCCAGCTCATGGCTCCATTGCCAGTGTCCAGTGGAGGTTCAGGATGGCTGCTGCGGCTCCCACATCCACAGCTGCAGGAAGGAGGAAGCCCCTCCACACCCCTTACACTTGTGCATCCATCCCATTGGCCAGAGCTTGCTCACATGGCCACTTCAGCTGCAAGGCAGGCTGAGAGTGCCGGCAGGCGGGCAGTCGTGAGCTCAGGGACTGCCAGGAAAGAGAAGGCAGATGGGGACACACGGCAGTCTTCTCAGTGATCTTGTATGAACCCGTTGCCCCCGGGTTTGTAGAAGGAATTGACCGACAGTGTGCATGCAGAGCCGTCTCACGTCCTCACCCGCTTCCCCCTTGCCCCAGCTTTCCATCCTGTCCGTGCTCACAGTCCCTGGCCTGCGCCTTTAGTAAGTTTCCTGCTCACATAGCAGCTTGCTTTTCTTGAGCCCTGGGAGATGGGACTGCTCACATCGTGACCTTGTTTCAGGGGGCAAGAGGTGGCAGGAAAGTAAGGAGAGCTTGTGCGAGACGCTGATGGAGAGCCTCACGAGGGAAATTCTTGTTTGTCCCTTGACGGGTGCTGCTCCGGAGGAGGAAGAGCAGCCGCAGAAGGTTCCAGATCCTCAGGAGAGGGAACCAAGCCCCGTCCCCAGAGCCCAGAGGCAGTCAGTCATCCGGGAGCCAGCCCAGGACAGGGGCACAGCTGGGGAGAGCCCTACTGTGCCCGTAGCTCCAGCCGCCCCGCGCCAAGGCCTTGGAAGAAAGAGGCCCCACTCGAAGGATGTGGGTGGGCAGACATGCCCTGAGCATGTCTCCAGCGTGAGCCACCCCCAGCAGCACCACGTGAAGGAGCCCGCTGCAGCCGGTGACGGCGCAGTGTCCCTGGGCGCAGGCTGCTCTGCTGCCGATGAGCCTGGGCTGTCCCGAGGGAAGCCCTACTCGTGCAGCGAGTGTGGGGAGACCTTTGCGTGGATCTCCCATTTCATCGACCATCTCCGAAGCCACAGTGGCAGGAAGCTGTACGCGTGCCAGGGCTGCTGGAAGACCTTCCACTTCAGCCTGGCCCTGGCCGAGCACCAGAAGACCCACGAGAAGGAGAAAGCCTACGCACTGGGGAGGGCCCTGGGCCCCCACCCTGCTGCGTGTGGCACCCATGCCGGCGGGAGGCTCCGTGGGCTCCCGGGATGTGTGGCAGGTGATGTTTTCCCTGTGCAGCCTGAGGCTCAGAGATGAGCTGCTTTGCTCTAAGTGTCCCTACAGGACAACCTTGCCTGCCAGATTTCCCGAGCAATGTATCCGCTGCTTTGAAACCCCTGCGTGGCTTCCTGCAGTATCTGTGTGGATGTCAGTCTTTCTGTTCTCTAAATGAGCTAATGTGGCCAAAGCACTTAGAACCCAGAAGGGCCCACGGGCAGCCTTCGTCTCCTTGTAAACACACCCATGCAGATGCCCATGTGCAAGCACGAGCTGTCAGGTGGGAAAGAAGATTCCCCTCTCTTTCGTAGCCATTTTAGCACCACCCACACATTGAAACATTTGTCATTGTGCAAAGTGTAGAGTTGCCTTAAAGTGTGTGATCGCCGGCCCTTGCTGAAGTCAGCTTTGTCTCTATTCTCTTGTTCAAGCTCCCCAGGGCTTCTGTTCAAGCTCTTTGGTCTTTTTGGAACCCCCTGATGTCAGGTTCGCTTCTGAATTCTCAATAGCAAATCGTGTCCTAGTTAAGCACGTGTCTGTGTGTGTGGAGTGGCTTCACAAAGATCACAAAAATGCTTGGAGCCTTGTAATGCAGTGTTTTCAAACCATGCGTCTCAGCCCACTAGTGAATTGTGAAATCAAATTAGTGGGCGGTTGTCGTCATTGCAAATCAATGAAGTAGAATTAAGTAGGGTAAAAATTTGTTGTGTAGTAAAGGCAAATATTGTTTTGTGAAACTTTTCAGCTACATTATCTAAATCTGAGACTTGGTTGCAATGTAAGATGTATTTCTTACTCAGGGTGGAGGATCATGATCAAAGCACGTTGAAAACACTAACAAGGGTTGATGAGATGTGTCTCCCTGGACAAGTGGAAACTTAACTCTGTGGGCTACATAAGATGATCTTCAGATTTTTGCATTTGATCTCAGATTAGAGCATTGTTTCTGTTGCCTGAGCATAAAACTTAACTGCTTCTTGTAGATAAACTGGTGCCTCTTTCTGTCATAGTGTTTGAGCAGGCAGTCTGTTGTAATGATGACCGAATCACAGATGCTTAGCCTAATAAAGGATTTATTTCTTCACTCACATGACAGTCTTGTGTTTGTTGCTATTGCTTGTATGTGGATGGGAGGGGAACTGTGCTCCATGTGGTGATTTGGGGATCTAGGCTCTGTCCCTAGTGTATCTGCTCTCCACTGGCCCACTGGAGCATGTGGGGAAGGCCACACTGGCTTAGTTGGGAGGTGACACCTCACTTCCACTCATGTATCCTTGGGGAGAGATGATCTCATGGCCTCAGTCACATGGCAGGGTCTGGGACTGTGTACTAGGTTCCTGTCTCTACCACAATCACCAAGCTCAGTTGTCCTCTTCACCTGTCTACCCCTCACTCCCATCCTGAGCTGAGTGTGGCTCTGGTAATAATTAATGTATATTAATTAAATATATTAATTTATATATATTTGCCCTCTGAACTCTTGTTCCCAGCCTAACCCATGAGCATGTCTCTCCTTCCACAGAGGTAACCCCTAGGGTGGGTCTCGCTGTCAACTTCAGGGCCACCGAGGGGTCCATTATCAGAAAGTCTGGCCCTCTATTCTGTTTCTCTCTGATGTCTCCTTTTTTAACTTTTTAAAATGTTTTATTTATTTCTGAGAGAGAGAGAGTGTGAGCAGGGGAGGGTCAGAAAGAGAGAGAGAGACAGAATCTGAAACAGGCTCCAGGCTCTGAGCCAGCTGTCAGCACAGAGCTCGACACGGGGCTCAAACCCACGAACCATGAAATCATGACCTGAGCCAAAGTCAGATGCTTAACCGACTGACCCAGGCGCCCCTAAGATGTCTCCTTTAGATGCTCCTAGGTGTCGGTGCCTTTTTTGTTAATACATTCATATTTTCTTTTGGAAATAATTTCAGACTTGTAGAAGAGGCACAAAAATGATAAGTCATCCAACCCCACCTATGTGAACATTTTCCCCTGCTTGCCTGTGATCTCGGGCCCTCACCCCCCATACACACACCTGGGACACACACCTGGGGAGTGCCTGAGGTCCATGTTCCTACTGTTGATGATGATTCCTAACATTTTTTATTTTTTTTTTATTTTTATTTTTTTTTTAATATTTTTATTTTTATTTTTAGGAGAGCTAGGGTGAGAGAGACAGCGTGAGCAGGGGAGGGTCAGAGAGAGAGGGAGACACAGACTCTGAAATAGGCTCCAGGCTCTGAGCTGGCAGTCAGCACAGAGCCCGACGCGGGGCTCGAACCCACAAACCGCGAGATCATGACCTAAGCGAAAGTCGGACGCTTAACCGACTAAGCCACCCAGGCGCACCTCCTAACATTTTTTAAAATGCCAAGTCCTAAAGTACCTCTAAAAATCACTTCAGAATTGCTTTTCTCAAGCCACTACAAAAAACAAACCTACAGGATTTGTTTGCTGTTCGCTTGCCACCACCATCCTGACCAAGACATGGTGGAACCACACAAGTGATTTATTCTACAGAAAGACCAAAATATGGCCAGATGTTCCCACTTGTTAATCTCAGAGGAAGCCGGGTTAGTTCGGGCATTAGGGGCTTCGGATCTGTGCTGAGGGTTTCCCACCCAAAGGGTGGCCCATTGAGAAAGGTGCAGCCAACAGGAAACACAAGGTGGCCCTGGCCTCTCCAATGGAGTTGGGAGGGCTGGATAGTGTACAGATCATGGGGCACTGAGCCAGGACTCAGAAAGGACGTAAGACATCTGGAGAGCAAGGGAGACCCCCAGGTGCACTGCACGAAGAATGGACTGGAGCTCATGGCTGGTTTCCACAGGGTGGCTGAGGACAACTGGTCAAAAGGGTGGGGAAAGTAAATCCCATAAATGGAAAACTGGCCAGATGGGAATAAATTTCAGTGGGAAGAAGGTAATTAAATGCCTTCTGTTACAGACGGATTTGCATCCCCCCCCCACCCCAAGTTTACACACTGAAGTTCTAACCCTCAATGTGACTGTATTTGGTGATAGGGCTTTAGGGAGGTACTTAGGGATAAATGAGGTCATAAACACGGGGCCCTCATCCCACAGGATTGATCTTGTGAGAAGAAAGAGAGGCAGCGGCGATTACTCCCTTTCATCGCACGTGCACAGAAGAAAGGCCATGAAACACTACCGTCTTGTTTTGCTCACAGATTCAGCGGGTCGCTAATTCAGAAAGGGCACAGCAGGAAGGACTTGTCTTTGTTCCATCATGTGTGGGAACATGTTGGACCTCGCTGGGAACTTGAAGTTTGAGGTACCATGAAAGCTGCGGGGTTCGAGTCACCCTTGAATGCCTGATGCAGCTGGGAAGGCTCGCAGGCTAGGACTACTCACTAGAGCCCATACACGGAGCCTACCTGGCGTGGACATCCTGACCACGTGGTAGCTTCCTGGTAGTGGGAACTTGTTTTTCCCTTAACATTTATTTACTTTTGAGAGAGAGAGACAAAGCAAGAGTGGAGAAGGGGCAGAGAGAGAGAGAGGAAGGCACAGAATCCAAAGCAGGCTCCAGGCTCTGAGCAGTCAGCACAGAGCCCAATAAGGGGGTGGGACTCGTGAGCCGTGAGATCATGACCTGAGCCGAAGTCTTTGGACGCTCAACTGACTGAGCCACCCAGGCGCCCCAGTTGGGACTTCTTAAATGGGGCGTCTCAGGATTCCAAGCACACGTGTCCCCGTGAGCAAGGTGGAAACTGCATGGCCTCTTCTGAACTTGTGTTCACCCCGTTCAGTTTTCCTCGTTGGTCTTCGACCTTTGTGTCAGTAATTGAGACAGATCAGCAACTATCCAAGTAAGTTGGGACCTCCAGTCAGGTTTTTTCATTTAAAAAGAGAGAGGAGGCATTCCACATAGTGGCATAGTGAGGACTATTGGAAGACTATTTAAAATACACTCCCCCAAGGGATAAATTTCAGGTTAACTGGAAGCTTATATCCCAGCATCGTGACTGGAAAATCAAGCCGCGACTGATACTACCCTGGTGGCCTGTGACCAAATCCAGCCAATGTAACTCACCTATGGGCTCTAATGAGGATGGCAAGTCACCGTTCAAGTGTCATGGTTATCAGAGAGGCTGCTGTTAGTGAATTCAGGACACAGTGTAATACTATGGACCTTCAAGATAAATTATACAAAAACAAAAGCTTAATAAACACTGGGAAGGAGACTCCGTGAAAAACAGTCAAGTACATTTCTCAAGAGATAAACCTTGCAAAACATAAAGTTCCAATGTGGAGGTACTGTTGTTCAGAAGATGGTGGCTTAACAAAGGAAAACATCTTCCTTTTTGTGAAACACCAACATCTGTGTTTCTCATGCCTGTGAGTCACCTGTAGAGAAATTCATTCATAGTTGCTTTACACCGTTCATAAGCACCCTGAAGAATGTAATGTGTGATAATGATACATTCTGAGTGCACGTGGTTCCTGTATATGAAAAGCATTTGCTGCGTTTCTCACCACTTTGCAAACCTCTGGTTTGGAATATTGTGAATCCTTGGACAGAAGCCATCCCCTGATCCCCCATTCCCCCCAGCCCCATTTCTCTCTCTTGTAGGTTCTACGATGTAGCATTAGTGGACACTCATGACTGAAGGTCCACAACAGTGATGAACTCCGCACTTCCCTACTACTGTTTGGCTGGGCTGATATCTGGGGATGGATGACCTAGAGCTCAGTATGCCCACAATCATTTCCCTCATTTCTCTGAGAGTGTGTGAGGCATATATTCCGTGTGATGGCTTGCATTTGCATATATTTGTATTGTTCCCGTCAGGAACGACAGGGTCAAATCTAGGAAGGGATGAGCTATGACTTAAGGCTTTCCCAGGTCCCAGCGCACGTGAGGCAGGTCTACCCAGTATGAGTTCTCTGGTGCTTGGTGAGGGATGAGCTGTGTGTGAAGGCCTTGCCGCAGTCCCTGCACTCATATGGCTTCTCTCCCGTGTGGATCCGCCGGTGCTGCGTGAGGTGGGTGCTCTGCCTGAACGATTTCCCGCAGTCCTGACACTCGTAGGGCTTCTCGCCCGTGTGCGTGCGCTCGTGCTGGCTGAGCGACGAGCTGTGGCTGAAGGATTTTCCACACTCGTTGCAGCCGTAGGGCTTCTCCTTGGTGTGAATCCTCTGGTGTTCCACGAGAAGGGAGCTCTGGCTGAAGGCTCTGCCGCACGCGTTACACTCGTACGGCCGCTCGCCCGTGTGCGTCCTCTGGTGCTGGAGCAGCGGCGCGAGCTGGCTGAAGGCCCGGCCGCACTCGCGGCACGCGTACGGCCGCTCGCCCGTGTGGATGCGCTGGTGCTTGGTGAGCGACGAGCTGTGGCCGAAGGCCTTGCCGCAGTCGCCGCACTCGTACGGCCGCTCCCCGGTGTGCACCCTCTGGTGCTGGGTGAGGTGTGTGCTCTGGCGGAAGGCCTTGCCGCACTGGCCGCACTCGTACGGCTTCTCGCCCGTGTGCGTGCGCTCGTGCTGGCTGAGCGACGAGCTGTGGCTGAAGGTTTTCCCGCACTCGTTGCAGCCGTAGGGCCGCTCGCCCGTGTGGATCCTGCGGTGCTCGGTGAGCAGCGTGCTCTGGCTGAAGGCCTTGCCGCACTCGCCGCACTCGTACGGCCGCTCGCCCGTGTGCGTCCTCTGGTGCTGGAGCAGCGGCGTGATCTGCGTGAAGGCCCGGCCGCACTCGCGGCACGCGTACGGCCGCTCGCCCGTGTGGATGCGCTGGTGCTTGGTGAGCGACGAGCTGTGGCCGAAGGCCTTGCCGCAGTCGCCGCAGCGGTACGGCCGCTCCCCGGTGTGCACCCGCACGTGCTGGCTGAGGTGGATGCTCTGGCGGAAGGCCTTGCCGCACTGGCCGCACGCGTACGGCTTCTCGCCCGTGTGCGTGCGCGCGTGCTGGCTGAAGGACGAGCGGAAGCTGAAGGCCTTGCCGCACTCGCCGCACTCGTACGGCTTCTCGCCCGTGTGCGTCCTCTGGTGCTGCACCAGCGGCGCGATCTGGTTGAAGGTCTTCCCGCACTGGGGGCACCGGTAAGGTTTCTCGCCGGTGTGGATCCTCTGGTGTTTGGTGAGCGCCGAGCTGTTTCGGAAGCCTTTCCCGCATTCGGGACACTCGTACGGCCTCTCTCCCGTGTGCGTTCGACGGTGCTCCAGGAGTGCCGAGCTGTGGCCGAAGGCCTTGCCGCACGCCTCGCACGTGTAGGGCTTCGCTTTCGCGAGTGGCTGCTGCTGCGCGCCGAACCCTGCGTCTGCTCTCCCCCGCCCCCCGCGCGTCCCCGGCACGTGGAGGCCCCCGCTTTCCGGAGTCATTGGCTGGGCTGGGAGACAGGGGCTCACACTTAAGTTTTCCCCAGGCCCGTCCCCCTGCTGCTGCTGCTGCTGCTGCATGGGTGTCTTCACCGCATGGCTCTCCGGGCTCTCACGACTCTGTCCCCGGAGGCCCTCCGCATGGTCGCCCTCAGAGTGCCAAAGACTATCCCACGGGAACCTTTCTGCCAGGATACTGCTGGGTATTCCTTCAGTGATGTTTCGCTTTGGAGCTGACACTTTGTTTTTGGGTCTGGTTTCCAAATCTAGAAGAAAAACAAAAGATGGAAATATTCCTTGATTCCTGTTTGGAGGGAAGGGTTTGGGGTGGGGGTGGGGGGGTGGGTGGAAGAATACAACTGATGCTTTTGAAAGGTTCAAGGCACAAGTGGCTTTGACCATTTAAGAACACAATTCTGCAAATCAGGGAAGCAACGGGAGCAGGAGAGGAAGCTCCGAGAGTGGCGGGGGTGGGGGGGCTGGCGCAGGGGCTTGGGTAGGGCTTGCAAGGGGAGCACGGGGAACGAAGCAGGGACATGGTGCGGGGCAGACAGAGGGCATCCGCGGAAGCTGTGGACAGACGCCCCGGGCTGGAAGGAGCAGAGCCATGGCCAGGCCCAGGTGAAAGCAGTCCCCGTGGTGCCAGACGGTGCCAGAGGAAGAACCATCGCACAGGTGAAGGACCGCCCAGCCCGGCTCTGCCACCGCTCAGGTGTGCTTTCTGCCTGGCGCTCTGGCTGCTGTTCCACTTTCCCCTCGATGTGAAGACACCCACCAGTTCCCCAGACTGGAGGCCGCTGAGAAGCGCATCGCTGGAGGGTGGGCAAACGACCTGAGCCACACAGGAGGGCCTGGATCTGCTCTGTTGGGTTCGTCTCACCACCTGAGAGCTCCAGAGGGCGGGGCTTCTGTCCACCTTGGTCACCCCTGCACCCCCACCCTCCTCTGAGGCCAGCAGACACGCAGAACAAATGCACCCCCACCTCCGTCCTGGCAGGACTGCCTTCTGCCCCAGTTCCCAGCCCCTTCTGCACACCGGACTGGCCTGAAGGTGTGATGAGGGCACCTCGCCCATTTAGGTCATACTCCAGTGAAGTGTTCAGGGGAAGAAAAAAAAAAAAAGGAGGTCAAGTCAGGTGTGGCTGGAAAAACAGTGGCTCCCAAAGACATCCGTATTCATATTCCTCGCACCTTAGCCAGTCATCTGAGATTACCCCGGTTACTGGGGTGGGCCCAAGTCATACAAAGCTAATATTCAAAGCAAGGTTCTGAGCTGTGAGAGAGGGGCAGGAGGGCCACGGCCATAGGGATGTGAGAAGACCTAAGGGCCGTGCTCACTTGGAAGATGGACAAGGGTGTGGTCAGGGAACGCGGGCACCTCTGGAAGCTGGAATATGAAAGGAGCTGGGTTCTCTCCAGGCCCTGCAGGAGGAACGGTGCCCTGCTCATACCTGGATGTAGCACAGGATGCCCATTTCAGGCTTCTGACTCTAGAGTGGTAAATAATGTGTGTTTGTGGCGATTTTTTAGAGAAGTCATACAAAGCTAATGTTCCTAGGTAAGGACTGGTTACCGCTTTTGCTGGGGAGACTCTGTCCTGACCCCCTCCCCCACGCTGGCCATTCTTTCTGGGTCCTGGCGATGGGCCGATGCATCAACAGGGTCAGGGCCTGACACCAGGGGTGAATGTCTGCCAGTGGGCGTGACGGCCCCACTTCCCACAGAGTTGGTACTGATCTCAGGAGGTGGATGAGACATATGAAGAGCAGAACCCCCACAGGCACATGAAAAAGCCTGGACAGGATCCACTGACCCAGATGCATGAGTCATAAATGCTTCTGTGGTTTAAACCACTGAGGCTGCAGGGTTTGTTACGCAGCAAGAGTAGGCTGTTGCCCACCCCAGTGCCTTTGCACTTGCTGTTCCTTCCGCCTGGAAGTCTGTCCTCCCAGCTTGTTTCACGGCTGCACTGTTCTCCTGACTCCGGCTTCAGCTACACGTTGCCTCCCTGGAGAGGCCAGCCTCATCTCTGCTCAGGTCCTCCCCATGCCCCTGGCCTCTCCCTCATGACCTGCTTCACTTCCTCAGCATTCATCATGTGCCATGAGCATCGTGTGCAGTTACTACTTTCCCTATCTATCATGTGCCCCTTCCCTCATCAAGAACGCAAATTCCATGAAGGTGAGGGCTTGGGCTTGGGCTTGGTCACAGCAGAACCGGTGCTTGGTGCACGGTTACTAAGAGACTGAGTAGTCAGTCTGCTCTGAAGAATGTGAGAACAGGTGCGGAGAGGGCCCAGGGTGCAACCGCGGCCTCCCAGCCCTGCGGGGGTCTCCCCTCACTGGGCACACGCCTCGGGGAGCTCCATCTTCTACCGCCCACAGCTCCTCCCGCTCCAGCACCGAGACGACATCCAGCTTCGGAAGCCAACGTCCTGCCCAAGGGGAGACCCGCAGAGTGCGCATTTGTGTTCCTGGGCCCTTCCCGCCCCTCCGTCCCCTCCACCTGGAGTCTTCCGGTACCCTATCGCATGCAGGTCCCAGAGGCCACAGCTGTAGCGGCCCTAATGTCAGGCCCTTAGGGCCCCCACCTCTGGCTCTGGGTGGATGTGTGACCCAGCCCCAGCCGATCAGGCGCTGCTGCTTCCCCTGCCCCCCTGGCAACAGTGACCAGTGTGGAGGGGACCTGGCCATCACACCAAGACACCGCAGGGGCCTTCCAGGGGTGTCCAGGACACAGACCCTGTCTTTTCCGCTGGTCTCAGACATGGAAGAGGCACCCAGACAGCTCACTTCTTACACTGGACAGGCCCATCTGCAAACTGAGGCGGGGGGGGGGAGGGGCTCCTGACGGCACCACAGGAAGACTCAGGTCTACCTTGGGACCCATTCTTACCTCAGGATTTTTTGCTTTTGGCATTTTCAGTGGGATCTGGAACTTGTAACCAAACATCAGGTCTCTAAAGTCCAAAATTCATCCTAGGTATTTGCTTTTTGGCCTAGACCTATCCCCACTTTTAACCCAGGAGAACTAGAATCTGTTTTGGGGGCAGACCAATGGGGGCTCGAGTGTGGCCTCACCCACGGAGACGAGGAGCCTGAAGGTCTCCAGCATCACATCACGGTATAGGGTCCTCTGGGCGGGCTCCAGCTGCCCCCACTCCTCCTGGGTGAAGTCCACAGCCACGTCCTCAAAGGTCACTTGCTCCTGAAACATCACACACAAATGTCCTCACCCAGGCCAAGCCTGGTGATAAGCCGCTCCTGGGAGCAGCTGTTGAACAGGGACATCAGCCAGGCTTCGGGGGGTAGGGTGGTTCTCAGGTCTGAGGATTTGGGCCAGGTTTTCCCATGGGGTCAGGGGGCTCTGCTGGAGGAAAGGGGGTCTTAGGAGAGAAGAGGACATACCCCAGTCCTGCAGACACAGGAACCCTAAGATGCCATAATGATGGTGACTGAGGGAGGGGTATGAAGGAGCCTGGGGGGGGGGGGGCTAAAAGCCTCCCACGCATCAACCAGAAGAACGTCCACTGGTGTCCATACGTGCAGTCACCAAGCTGCACACCCCTGTAAATCTACACTGTGCATTAACCATAGCTGAATACAAAGTGGGGAGACAGAAAATGGCCAATGAAGTGGTGGAAACAAGCAAATGAACCGGATGCGGGATCTCCAGTGACACAACCCCTGAGGACTGTTTCCTAGTCTTTAATTTTGGACCTTTAAACACTGCGGTAAAAACACGCTCCTCAAGAAGAGAGGCTGATGGTGGGTTCTGGGGGTGTGGAGTGGTTCCGGAGGCATTTCCCATCATTGTGACACTTGCACGTGTTTTCTGAAATTCCCATATGACGCCGGTTTCTTCTATGACTGGGTAGGGAATTTATGAGTTTCTTCAAGGGACATGAGGGTCAGGGGCACAAACATCCTCCAAAAAGGTAGTTTCCATCTCACCAAATCACAAGCTGTGGATGGCCAGGGAGCAGAGGCAAAGTCCAGGGCTTGGGTGGACTTCACTTCAGGTGTCACTGCCCCATGTGAGGGGGGTGAGGTGCCCAAATACTGGATCCTGGCCCACCTGGCAGTGTCTGCCTCTGCTAAAGCTTCTCTTCCAGAGGAGAGGGGCCATGGGGCATGAGCTAGGTATCTGGGGGGTGTGGCATCTTCAAGACCCAGCCCTGCACCCAGACGATAGGGCTTCAAACTCCAACCCTGGCTACATCGTTTAATGTTTATTTATTTTTGAGAGAGAGAGACAGACCGTGAGTAGGGGAGGGGCAGAGAGAGAGGGAGACACAGAATCTGAAACAGGCTCCAGGTTCTGAGCTGTCTGGACAGAGCCCGACACGGAGCTTGAACTCACAAACTGCAAGATCATATATAACCTGAGCCGAAGTCAGACACTCAACAGACTGAGCCACCCAGGCACCCCTCAGGTACATCTTTTAAAGCGCTCAGTGCCTCCCGCCCTCATCCGTAAGTTGGTGAGGACCCCCTGAGAGGGCTGTTGGGAGGAGTGAAGGAAATGACATGATGTGTTTGCCCCGGGCCTGGCACACACTGTGTGAGCCACCATTCAGAGAAGCATGCCGGGGGGCTTGGAGGTTTTTATTTTCCTTCGCCAATGTCCCTATTTCCCCCCACACTTTCCAGACTCAGTAGGTCTCAGCGGTTATCTGCAGAGACCTACTAAGTCCAGGGTCACCATTCTGGGTACCGCAGATGGCATGGAAACGAGACACGCACCTGGCCTTGTGGTGCCTGTGTGCTAGCTGCAGGGTCACGGAGCTGGCCAAAACTCAAATCCCAAGAGGGGTCAGTGCTCCAGTGACATTGGGAGGGCCGCTGCTGGGGCAGCCGGGCAGAGGTCTGCGAGAGCCATGAAGGCAGCATGATGTGTGCTCAGCACTGGGGGCCTCCCTGGGGGCAGGTGGTCTGAGGCTGGGCTCAGCCACTCCCAGCGTCGGGGCCTCAAGGCTGTGACTTGCATCTGTGCCTCAGTTTCCTCACTGCAACCTCATGGGGCTGATGCGGGGGTAGCATAGGGTGAAATGTGTCCAGCACTGACCACAGGGTTTGGCACCTTTACTGTTCCATCCATTCACTGAGTGCCTACTGTGTGCTGGGCCTTTGTGTGTGGCACAAACGGTAAAGCTGCTTCCCAAGGCCCTAAGCCCCACGCCGCTGGCCTAGGAGCCCCTGTTTGCCGTCTTGCCATTACCTGTGGGTGCTTGGCGTGGTTCCACCTCTAGGCCTTTGCTCACGCTGTTCCCCTGCCTGGGTCATGATTCCTGTTCTGGAATCAGAACCGGAATTCCAGATGCCAGTCTGGAGTGCCCCTTCGCCTGCAGGTCTCTGTTTGGGGGCCACTTCACAGGAGGCCTTCTAGGCTATACTGGTTAACGCTTGGTGCCCAAGCCCATCTTCTTCTGGGCCTCATTTCCTTGCATGTCACTTGGCACATTTACATTCCTCCTAGGGACTGTGAGCCCCACGGGGAAGGTGATGATTTGCTCCTCGTCTGTTCCTGCACCTGCAATTCCTAGAACAGTGCCTGGAAGGCACTAGTCATCCATGGCAGGTGCTAAGTACCTGTCACCCTAAGGGACTGGACGGAGACGAATTGAGAAAGTGCCAGACACATCAGTGGATGGATGAGTGCTGTCTGCGGAGTAGAACGGGGCAGGTGAGGGAACGAGGGAGATCCCCTCTGAGGCGGTGAGGTGTGAGATCCGCAAGAGGATGACGCCGGACAAAACACGTACCTGGCAGGGGGCAGAATAAGGGCGAAGGCCCTGAGAGCACTGAGTCTGGTGGGGACCCGAGGCTAGGGCCTGGGAGGCCTGAGCGTGACGGTGGTGGTGGTGTACTCACCGGGGCCCCGGCAGTGAGGAGCCCAGCAGTCATTCCCTCCTCCGGCCTCTTGCAGGAACAGCCAGCTCCTCTGCAGGCAGCCTGGGGGGAAAGCGGAGGTGAGAGACCAGGCAAGTGCCTGTGGTAGCCAGAAACCCCACACCCTGGCATCTGTGTGCGGGAAGTGGGGGGCGGCTGTGGTTGCTGGAGCCTGGAGCCCCGCACCCAAGTCAAACCCAACAGTAATGAAACCTCAGCTTGGGATTTTCCGGGCACCTACTGTGTGGCCAGTGCTATTCCAGGCATTGTTGACAGAGTACCTTGAATTTTCCTACTCCACTTCACCAATACAGAAAGTGAGGGCCATGGTGGGCAAGGGCCACACCCCCAGTTGGCCAACAGGGTGATGGCTATTCCTATTACCGTGACAGACAGCTAGACAGTTATGGGGTCTTCGGGCATTGTGTGCCTCAGTTTTCCCCTCCCACAAAATGGGAGTGGTGACCCAATGCAGAAGTTATAGAAATTAAGGTGTAGACAGGGCTGAACATGGAGCCTGTCAGGCAGCCAAACAAGTGAACACAAGTATACACCGCTGGTACTGGAAGGAAAGCCTCTTGCTTCAGTGAGCATCTATTTAGCTCGACATGCAGGCCCTGTTGATGGCGATTCACAAGCTCACCTCTGGCTTGGTGCCCCAGATGAAACTCAGGCCAAAGGCAGTAGGCATTTCCCTGGTCTCTTTGTACCTTCCCTTCATGACCCTGATTCTGTTCATCCCGCTTGTGCCCTGTGGTCTTCACCACAGTTTCCAAGATGGGAGTTATCTTGTTCAGTAATGTGTTGATGGGTTTCTTATCATCTCCCTGACTCCCCTGGAGACTCCGGGGCGGCGGGGAGGGGGGGCGGCGGTGGAGGGGAGACAATCTTGGGGGCTCTTGGGTATAGGACAGGACCTGGCCCTCAGGGCACCTAAACATGTGTTCGCTGAATTAATGAAGGAGACGAAGATGGTACCTAGCTTGCAGTCGTTGCACAATAAGACTTCCATGTAGGGAGTCTGTTTTCTGGGTTCCAGGCGGCTGGGATTAAAGTCTTCTGCTTTTGGTCTCCCTCATCATCATCCCGAGAAGCCCCTCAGTTAGGTGAAGCTCCAGAGGGGACTCCACAGCGGCGCCTCGGCCTTCCCCACCCTCCGAATCCCGAACGTCCCACCAAAGCAGGGGAGGAATGCAGGTCAGGTTGGCTCCAGTCTCTGAAAAGTCGGGCCAGCTAGGACTTCTGGCTGTGACTCCGAAGCTGGAGGGTCCCACCCCTTTTGCCAAAGCTAGGTCCCCACCCTGGCCCCAACTCTTCCTCCCGGACCCGGAGACACCCCCACCCCCAAACTGGGCCCCGCCCACTCGGTCCCGCCCCCGCTGTCCCCGGAGAGACCCGCCCCGAACCCAAAGCAGGAAAAGGTACTCAACACAGACGCACACGGTGAGACTCCGGACCACCCCAGTCTTACTTACCAGCCGGACCACAGGACAAAGGCCGCAGCCGCCACCAGCCGGGACTGCGCCTGTGCAGGCGGGCGCTCAACTACATCTCCCAGAGGGCGGCGCGCACACTTCCGGTGTTTCCTTGCTCGCCCCGTCTCCGCCCGGAGCCGTGCCTGCTGGGCTCCGAGTCCGAGTCCGAGTTCGGACGTGCGGACCCCGCCGGCCTTAGTCTTGCCTCCCAGCTTCAAAACTCTCCCATGCCGTATTCCCTCGTCTGATGGCCGGATAAATGGCACGTCCGCCGTTGGCTGGGACTGCGCCTGCGCGGGCTGGTGCTGAACTACAACTCCCAGAGGGCCAGGGGCGGGCTCCGTGCGCTTCTGCCCCACCCGTCGTCGCGCGGGACCCGAGTTCTAGTTTCGACGCCTGTACTTATGGCGCCCTCGCGAGTGTCCTCTCCACGCGGGCTGTGTCGTGAGCCCTGCGAAAGTTGCCCCCCGCGTTCTTCCAGCGCAGACTGGCTCGGGACTAGTTTAGACAGAGTGGTCAGGGAGGTCAGGGGGACGCTGAGCAAAGGCTGCGGGAAGAGCCTGGGGAGCAGCGACCGGGGGCACAGCCGCGCTAACGCCGCGGCGGAGAGGCCAGTGAGGAGGCATTGTGAGCATCCAGGTGAGTCCCCTCGGAGTTACAACACACTGCTTTAATATTGGAAATTGTGCCGTAAACTTTATTGTTGTAAAACCAACCGGTGTTACAAAAATCAAACAAAATGCAAGACAACAATGACCCACACACATATTAAAACGGAAACATTCACTAAGATGCCAAACACGAGAGCCGTTTACATTTTGCCACGTCGACTCAGCCTTGCAGTACTTAGTACAGGGTTCTAGGAAACATCACGAGGTGGACAGGTTTTAAATTGCTTCACGTCATTGTCAAATGTGTGCATTTGAACAGCAGCATAATATTTAAAGCCCATGTGCCCTCACTGATTTTGTCATTCGCTGAACATCGACCAAGGCCTGCCAGGCGCTGGGCCCCGGGTATGGCAGCGAAGAGTGGACCAGGCGGCAGTGGACAAGGTGTGCACATTCGCCATTCCCCACTCAAGCCAGACTTACTTTCACTGATGTACATGGAACATCCCTGGAGCAGTGAGTGGAAAGAATCTAACCAAGGCTGAGCCATGTGCACTTGCCCTTTTAAGAACGACTGATTTATTCAGATCAGGGCTTGCATGCTGAATTTGAAGCAGAGTAAAAGTAAGACAAGGGCATTCTTTTCTTCGACTACAACAATGTGTTTGAAAGAACTCTGAAAACAGCAGAGAAGATAGAATTCTCATGTTAGGGAAAAACCTAGCTGGGTGCATTTTTTACATACAAAGACACTTGAAAAGATTAGGCTGATTCTCAACAAGAGTGAAAGACCTTAAATTTCAAAAGCCCTAAAACAGTGGTTGTTATGAAAAAATATAACAGATGGCTCAAAATCAGAATGCACTGATGTAAACAAGGCAAAGACAAGCTTACTGGCTTTTCTGTAAAGTGTCTTGTACATTCAAAGACTATAAAGGCCCACATTTGTGATTGTCGTACTGAAAGCCCACCTGCTCTTCTCTCTACTACACTATGAAGGCTTTAAAATATACATAAGATGTCAGTTGTCAGTTCTTTCACCTGCAAACCCAAATGCAAAGAGATTCTTAAATTTTTTTTGTTTTATGTTCCACAAAATGTGTACTCTTCTCTCCCCCCCACCCCAAACTTCTCTTTTACTGGCTCAAAAGGTATGTACATGTACACACTTCTCATGATGAAATCTTTTCCTCCAAAAGGTCTGGGCAGAGTCCCGGTGACGAGCTGTTGATGGTGCCACGTAGACTTGCCTGCTCATGGGGACAAACCCCAGCCCTAATGCTGAGCCACGTTGCTCTTACACACCTCCCTTGAGACTTGACCCTCTGTTACCTTCCTCTAGCCTTCTAATCCTTGTTTTTATTCAAGCCAACTTTCACAAACTCAAATGCCTGCAGGAGCTGGGCTCTGTTTGAAGGGGTGGATACTGATGGTCTCAGCCAAGTGATACCATGTGGACAGATAAGCCCAGTGTCCCAGGTCTGAATTTCTCAAAATAAGCCAAAGATTTGGATCTGTGTGTTTAATCTCTTGATTCACAGGGTATTCTATTCAAAGAGTTTAAAAACACTGTCCGTTAAAAGGCTAGCTCTATGCTTCTTTCGCCACTCCAGACCATGTTGGTAACCAGTGGCTGGGCCCCACTCAGCCAGTCTTGACTTCTTCTAACTGCAGGAGTTGCCTCCACTTGGTTATGACAGGACACCACCAGGAACAGGTGCATTAGAAATCAGTGTGGCTTTCAAGAATTTCTATCATCATTTTATGGATAGCACAACTTCATCACACTCTATTTTTGTTAAATTGTTCGACATATACATTTAAATATATTACAGTGTCTATCCTTGTGGATATATTTCATCCTTTAAAAAAAAAAAAATCATTTTGGGAGCTTCAGAACCTAGCAGTGCCCAGGCCTCTTCTGCTCCCAGAGGTCCTGGCTTCGGTGGGGAGGAGGGTGGTCTGTTCGCCTCTGGTTCCCTGGAGCGTGAGATGAGGAGGACTTGCACCCGGTGCCTGGCCCAGCAGATGCTCTGTGACAAGAGCTGGAGGACAGACGAGCCTGGGAAGCGTCCCAATGGGCAGGTGTTGGGGTCTTGCAGGGGATGCTGGCAGAGGAAGGCACAGGGTGAGCCAAGCATGCAAGGAGTGAGGAGAAAGAGAAGACGGGGGCCAGTGCTCTCTCTCACTACAGCTTGAGCAGCATCTTGGGACTAGGCAGGCCGGGCAGTTAACTCAATTTGGTGGCTCTGGTGAATCAGGATTCGGAGGAGCGGCTGTCCAGGCCCACGGCCCTGGGCCACATCCTTGCCCCTGTCAGCCAAGGCAGAGTGTGTTGAGGGGGCGCCTCCTATGATGCTGCCAGCCCCCCTCCTCAGAGATCCCAGGTAAGGCTTCCTTGGCTGGTCCCTGCAGCTCTGTGGTGGGGTCGTGGCAGCGGCTGCAGCTCACTTACTCATTCGGTTACAATTCACTCATTCTCACTCATGAAGGGCTGCTCTGAGCCAGGTGCTGGTGAAATGCTGCAGTGAACACTTTTCTGAGCAGAGGAGGCATCCCTCGAGGAGGTGAGGAGGCCCAACATGGGAGTCATTGTGGAGACAGGCAGGAGCAGAGTGGGCACAGGACTCCAGCCTCCACCACCCCAGCGCGGAGAGCTACTGAAGTGGGAAGGGGTTCGAGGGAACTGATCTGCTGGGCTTTACGTCATCTCAGCACGTCTGTTGCAGAAGGATCTTGCTGGCTGTGGGTATTGGATGGGCTGGAGGGGAGCGGGCTGGAGGCAGAGCTTGCCTAGAGACAGCTGCAGGCATCGAAAGATGGAGAAAAGAAGATAGAAGAGAGAGGGGGGGAGGCAAGTGCAGTTAAGTGCAGAGGAGAAAAGGGAACAGGGCAAGCCTGGGGCCTTGGAGGGCAGAGAGATGGCATAGGGGAGGCAGTTGGTTTTCTTTCGCACAAGGGTTCTTTGGACAAGCTCAGGTGGACTGAGGGACACCAGGCAGATATCTAGAGGGCAGTTGGTCTGTGGGATGCCAACGCAGACATCTTCAGAGAATTCTGTTCTCTGGATTCAGGAGCTGTTAGCACAAGGATGGTGGGGGCCCATGGCAGTCAGGGGCCTGACTGATTGATGCCTTGCCAGCAGCAGCCCCCACTCTCTCCTGCAATCCTGCTCCCCCCCCCCCCCAAGAGAGCTATGAACGTGCCTCTGATTTCACGGGATTGGAATGAAAACTACATTGGAATAAACTGGTCACTAACCAGTGGGGACCCTGGGATTTCCTTGTCCGCATATTCTGTCATTTAAACATGCCTGTCCATCTTGTGTGCCAGACTCGAAGGTACAGGGGCTGAGTGTGGGGCCAAGAGCGCCCCCCTTGCCACCTGAGCTCCAAAGAAGAAACTCCGCCTCAGCAGGATGAGAAAGGAGGTGCTTGGGAAGGGAGCTGAAGCCCATGAGAAATTAAGGCATGGAGTAGAGCCGGAAGCCTCAGTGAGGATAAGCCATGATGCTGGAGCGAGGCAAGAGCAGGGTCCGGAGGCCCAGATAGAGAGATCTCCAAGAAGGCAAGCGCAGCAAATGGCGCGAAGGCAGCAGAGGGACTTGCATGGCCCAGGAGGGTGCCAGGGGACACAGGCTACAAATGGGTGCAAGAAGGAGGCAGTGTGGTTGAGAAGCAGCCGTGGGCTGGGTGGGGTAGGTCCAAAAGAGTTTTCCAATTGAAAGGCGACTTATGGATGATTAGAAGGAAAAGGTCTCTGCTTATGTGGGGTCAAAGTCAATCCAACACAATCCAAGTTCAAAAAAAAAAGACACTTGTAAGGCTTTTGTTGGCATTGGGGGCAAGCGGTGCCCAGTGACGAAAGGGTGGGGATGGATGCCAAGCTGAATCCAGGTGCGTGTGGGCCATCCCCAGCAGCGGTGGGGTGAACTGACGCACCTGGGTGATCCAACACCTGCTCTTGGGAGATCCAGGGTGACCATAATGCCGGATTTTTATGTGACATCTGTGGTTTGAAAAATGTTCACGTTTATCTGAAAACAAAACCCTGCAAAGGTCATTCTGTGAGCCAGACGGAAACATGTGCAGGTCAGTTTTGGTCAGACCTAAAAATCCTGCCTAAAATCCTAACAGAAAGCAAGCAGATTTGTGGGTGTCAGGGGCTGAGAGGGGAAGTGACTGCTAATGGGTATAGGGAACTCATTTTGGGAGTGATGAAAATGTTCCAGAATACATGGGTTGCATGACCCTATGCATGTACTTAATGCCTTCGAATTGTGGGTTCTGAGTAGTTAAAATGGCAAGTTTTAAGTTATGTGTACTTTATCATAAAAAAGGAGTGAAGAAGGAAAAGGTGGGGCTGGGACCAAAAAAAAAGAGGCAAAGATCACATAGAAGAGCCCCGCATGGGTGCCAGGCTCCCAGGCCCTGGGCAGGCAGGAGGTGGCCTACCCGGGGGGTGCAGGAGGGCCGCCAGGTGACAGGCGCCCCCGGAAAAAGCTCCTGGAACTGGCGCTGCCAAAGCTCCTCTCCTTTCGCTTGCGGAACACAGACGGCCGACCGCCGAGCTGAGCGCGGCACTGGGGGTCGCTGTCGCCCAACGAACGCGGGCGGGTTCGGCGACACCCAGACACGCGACGGGTCCCGGGTCGCCTGCAGGATGAGTCCGCCAGGGGTCGCTGTCACCCGAGGAACACGGCGGCGGGGATGGCGGGTCCCAAGTCGTTCAGGGGGACGAGTCCTTCGGTGGTCGCTGTCATTCGGGGTAAGCGGTAGGCGCGGCGACACCCGGAAGATGAGGTGGGTACTCAGTCGTCCCACAGGACGAGCCCCCCGGGGGTCGCTGTCACCTGGGGTAACGCGGCAGTTGCAGCGACACCCAGAGACGCGGCGGGTCCCGGGTCACCTGCAGGACGAGGCTGCCGGAGGTCGCTGTCACCCGGGGGACGCGGCGGTGGGGGTGGCGGGTCCTAGGTCGCTCCGCTGGACGAGTTCGCGGAGGGTCGCTGTCACCGGGGGTAAGCGGCGGGCGCGGCAACAGCGGGAGACGCGGTGGGTCCCGGGAGGCCCCGCAGGACGGGCCCTCCTTGGGTCGCTGTCATTCGGGGTAATTGGCAGGCGCGGCGACGCCCGGGAGACGCGGTGGGTCCCTGGTCGCCCCGCAGGACGGGTCCCCGGGGGTCGCTGTCACCTGGGGAACGGGGCCGGCGCGGCGACACCCAGAGACGCGGCGAGTTCTGGGTTGTCTGCAGGACGCGTCCGCCAGGGGTCGCTGTCGCCCGGGGGACGCGGCGGCGGCGATAGCAGGTCCCGGGTCGCTCCGCTGGACGAATTCGCAGAGGGTCGCTGTCATCCGGGGTAAGCGGCAGGCACGGCGAAGCCCGGGAGACGCGGTGGGTCCCGGGCCGCCCCACCAGACGAGCCCCTCGTGGGTCGCTCTCACTCGGGGTAAGCGGCAGGCGCGGCGACACCCAGAGACGTGGCGGGTCCCGGGTCGCCTGCAGGATGAGTCCGCCAGGGGTCGCTGTCACCCGGGGAACGCGGCGGCGGGGGTGGCGGGTCCCAGGTCGTTCAGCTGGACGAGCCCTTCGGTGGTCGCTGTGAGTCGGGGTGAGCGGCAGGCGCGGCGGGTCCGGGGTCGGCCCGCGGGACGAGCCCGCCGAAGGTCGCTGTTACCTGGAGAACGGGGCGGCGAGGGTGGCGGGTCCCGGGTCGCCTCGCAGGACGAGTCCGCTGAAGGTCGTTGGCATTGGGGGTAAGAGGCAGACGCGGCGGGCCCGGGTCGCCCCGCAGGCCGAGTCCGCGAGGGTCTCTCATCCGGGGGACGCGGTGACAGGGAAGTGGGTCCTGGGTCGCCCCGCAGGATGAGCCCACCGAGGATCGCTGTCACCGGGGGGAGGGGGGGGGGACGCGGCGGCGGGGATGGCGGGTCCCGGGTCGCCCCGCGGGACGAGCCCGCCAGGGGGTCGCTGTCACCCGGGACGCGCGTCCGCTCACTGCGCGGCGTGCAGCTTCTGGTGGTCGAGGAGGTGGACCATCCAGGGGAAGGCCTTCCCGCAGACGCCGCACTCGAAGGGCCGCTCGCGGCAGGCGGTCTCGCGGCGGCCCGAGGGCTCCCGGCGGCCTGAGGTCTCGCGGCGGCCCGAGGGCTCCCGGCGGCCGGAGGGCTCCCCGCGGCCGGAGGGCTCCTCGAGATGGGAGGGCTCCCCGCGGCCGGAGGGCTCCTCGAGACGGGAGGGCTCCCCGCGCCGGCCTCCATCCGAGTCCTGGGCCTGCCCTGCCGCGTCCTGAGGGTCGGCCTCCCTTGGCGCCTCGGCCCCGCCCGGGCGAGGCCTCTTGCGCAGCGGCTCCAGCAGGTGGATCTTCTGATGCTCCCCCAGGACAGAGGCGTGCAGGAAGGTCTTGCCGCACTCGGGGCACGGGAAGGGCCCCTCTTCCAGGTGGCGTTTTTGGTGCTCCATGAAATGGGTGACCCAGGTGAAGACCTCCCCGCATTCGGCACACGCGAAAGGCCGTGTCCCTGGGGTCACTGGCGGCGGCACCGAGCTCTCGGAGGAGGGGGCGGCCGCCGGTTGCCCTGCCTCTTCAGGGGAGGCTTTGGTGTCTTTGAGTAAGGGCAGGTGGGGACTGCTGGCGTCACGGTCCCCAGCCCGCCTTGGAGGGCTACTGCTCTGAGCACTGGGGAGGGTGAGGTCTGCAAGCAGGCTGGGCTGAGGGGGCAAGGGCAGGGGCTCCTCTGGATCAGGCCCTTGGCCTCCGGTGCCCTGAAGCACAGTATCGCTGGGGGCAGCCACTGCCTGCCAGGCACCCCCTTCTGCCTGGGGAGCGTCCTGGGCCAGCCTGGGGTGGCAGTGCCTGTTCTTCAGGGCTCGGTCCCCGACCTGCCCACAGGGAGGCTCATCCCAGACACTAGGCTTCAGAGGCAAGCAGCCCAGGCCTGGGGAGGGTGAGGGAAAAGGGTTGTTAGTTAAGGGGCAGAGGCTGGAGGCCATACTCTGCTCCCCAAGGGCTGCAGAGAAGGGCGGGGCCAGCTGCCTGTACTCAGTAGAGGCTTCTTGTTTTCAGTCCTTTCCTCTCTTAAGATAAAGGGGCACGTGGGGTTGGGAGCCAGGTCCCTCAGCCCTGCGCCCCCTGTCCTCACCTGGGCAAGCTGCTGAGGGGAGCCCATGCTGCAGCATCCTCGGTCTGTCTGCCTTCATGCTGGGAGGCTGAAGCCCTGGTCAAGGGGTGGAAATGTTTGAATAGCTATTGGGGCAGGGGGTGCCGATATCAGTCCCCACTCTTGGTGTGCTCAGTCTGGAGGAAGTATAGAGTTAATCACCAAAGCCCCACCCGCCCCCAGCACTACCATCAGCAAAGTCTAACCCTTGCCAGGCCCAAGATCCACTCCCAGCCCTCAGGATTGCTGTAGGACCCAAACACTCACCGAGTGAGCCCAGGGTGCAGGATGCCTCGGCCCCCGCCCTGGTGTGGGGACTCCGCTGGGGCTGGGCAGGCTGCAGCCACTCGCCCTCCTGGGGGAGCCCCAGCTCCAATGCCTGGAATGGCAAACACAGTCCCGTTCAGCAACTGCCCCAAGCCACCCAGGGCTTGGAGCAGCCACCAGAGAGCCATCCACCCAGTGCCACCACAGTAGAAGGACAGACACCATTGCCTTCTTTCAAAACTCCAGGAATAGCAAAACTAAAGCCACTGCCTCCCCCAAAAAAAGGTGCCCCCCCAAAACAAAAAAGGCCACCAAGCCAATAAATAGTAGTTAGTAAGAGTTTATTGTGCATATAGGAATAGTCTGTGAACTGGGAACCTTTCAAATCCAAGATTGATAGGAAGTTTGGAGGCTTATACAGTGAAAGTGAGGAAGGCATTTAACCTTTTTTGGTGACACTTATTACAAAGGGGATTTCTTGGTGGCAGGGGCTGGCTCAAAATGATTATCTTTCACTGTGTTTAGGAAGATGACTTAAGTTTCTTTAATAATTGCCAGAGGCATTTGCACAAGGTGGCCCAGGTTATGTTTTACTTGTTTTGCAGAGCACACTAAATTAAGTTTCACTTACTATGGCTTTTAAGTGGCTTTGTCTGCTCAGGGAATGTTCAAATCTGGTTTCCTTTTTTATTTAACACCCCAAATGCACATTCCCAGAGGGCTGTTACTAGGACATAATTCGAGCCCCCACCCCTTGCAAAATGGAAATCCAAGGCCCCTTTGTGATGGTTAGTTCTATGTGTCACTGTAACTAGGCTAAGTGACGGCCTGATCGCTGGTAAAACATCATTCTGGTATCTGCAGGGGTGTCTCCAGGGAAGACCAGCATTTATACTGGTAGTCCGAGTAAAGATCATCCTCACCACTGTGAGTGAACATCACCCAATCCTTTGAGGGCCCAAGTTGAACACAAAAGCAGAAGAGTGCATTTATGCTCTCTGCTTGAGCTGGGACAGTCACCTTCTGCCCTCAGATATTGGACCTCTTCTTGATTATTGGCTTTGGACTCAGACTGGGACTCGTCTGGTCCTCAGACCTTTGGACTTGAGATGGAATCCCCACCAGCAGTTCAGGGATTTCTTGGCCGCCATAATCATGTGAGTCAGTTCCGTATAGGAAATCTCTCTGCACACGATCTTAGACAAAAGGCCGAGAAGCAACAGTAAATCTCTTTGTATGTCAACATAAATCCTACTGGTTTTGTTTCTGTGAAAAACCCTGACTAATACGCCCTCACTTGAAAATCACTGACAATTTCATGGCGACAAGATGGCATTCAAGAGAGTCCCATGTATGGAGTCAGGTCAATATCACCTGTGGGGTTCTGAACTGTCCCTCACAGCTGCACTGTCCCAAGAACAAGCCCCCCCCCCCCCCACCGCGAGGGTGATGAGCAGCAGTGGGGGCTCCAGGTCTCACCTGTCACCAAAGCACTCCTGTCACCCCGCCCCCCAGGGGGCACACAGATATCACACAAAGTGGTATTAGCGCCTGCCACGGAAGAGTGAGAATCTGAAACTTTGCATCCATGCTCTGGCCCCATTTGCTGTATGGCCCTGGGAGGGGAGCTTTCCTTCTCTGGGCCTCAAAGGGGATACTGTGCAACGTGCTCAGAGCCAAGCACCCGGCAAGGGCTCCGCAAACTTCCACTGTAGTGGCTGGATCATTCAGGGTTTGTGGCTAGAGAAAGAGCACAGTGACACCCCTCAATACAAATGGACAATATTCGAGAAAGTGCATTGGGACCAATAAGAAGTGAGAAGCAACCAGGAGATCCAAGCCCACGTTGGAATCTTCGGTTGGTGTCTGCTTTCTGCTGCTCTCGCCCTCCCCTCCTGGGGTGCTGGAGTGCAGGTGCAGGGTTCTAGGCTTCTCAGAGGCCCAGGCTGGGACTGATAGGTGCTGGGGACTCATGGAGGGAGGGGGCTGAGGACAGGGTGCAGTGGGAGGGAATTAAGGTTTGAGATTCTTCTCTTTCAGGCTGGGGATATGTGGATAGTGCATTTGGGTGAATTACTGATTTTCTGTTTCTTGCTAAGTACTAGTTTTGATTATAAAACAACACTTATTGAATTCTATAACAGTCATCAGAGAGGCTGCCATCTGCAGTGGGGTGGGCAGGGATCCACCCCTCCTCTTCCTGCTACCCTAACCACCTGAGACCTTCAGCTGCTGCCAGTTCTGCCTCCTCAGTGGCCAAGGCCATGACCGTGGGTGGTGGCGGGGTTAAGTGAGAGAGAAGGCCCAGGACCTGTGTGTATTAGTGTTGGTGTGTGTTGGTGGGGCGGTGTGCTAGGGCATATTAATCCACCTGGCTTGGAAGCTTAGGTTGCCATGCAGAAAGTCTGCAGATGCAGACGAACACATTTGGGCCAGGCCCAGAAACCGGGACATTTCTGGGCCTTCTCTCTATCTCCAAACACAAACACGTCCCCCAAGTCCTGTTGACCTGGTCATTCCAGGGACAGTGTTGGGCAATGGGGGGATGTGAGGGCCCACATCTGTCATCTAAGCAGCCAAGAAAAAGAAAATAAGAACGAGAGGATATGTGAATGCTAACCAGCTATTTACTGCTGTTGAGGGATTATTGTTCATGGTGTTAGTTGAAGTAGTGGAGCTGGGTTTATGTCCAAAAAAAGGAAGAGTCTTGGTGGTTTTCCAGGGGTGGGGGGGGGGGGGGGGGACGACAAACTAGATGAAGGGGTCAAAAGGTACATACCTTTTGGTATGGGCCTGTAATGTATAGCATGGAGATTATGGTTAATAATACTGTATTGTAGATTTAAAAGTTGCTGAGAGTAAATCTTAAAAGTCCTCATCACGAGAAAAAAGTTTGTAACTTTGTGTGGTGATGGATGTTAACTAGACTTCCTGTAGTTGACCATTTTGTAATATACTGAATCATTATGTTGTATACCTGATACATATTAATTGATGTTACACATCAATTATATCTCAATTAAAAATAAAAAGATATCATAGATACAGTCAGGAAAAAAAGAGTCCTTGAAGCCCAGACCCTACTTGCAGTGCATGCATGGAGATGGGGTGTGAGCATGTGTGTGATTTCCAAGGGGAGAATCCAGGATAGGAAAGGGATTTCCATCAACACATCTGGCTATGTGTCAGGTACCTGTGGCCTGTCTGGGGCTGACTTCTCCATTCTGTGCCAGAAACATAATGCCCAGAGCCCATAAAACTTTTGGAGGAAGGAGTTTCTCATGATAATGTTTTAATTTCTTTTAAAATCAGACACACACACAAAATGAACATAGTGACTATTCTAGCCTGGAATATATTCATTTTTATATCAAATGGTCGTAACATATAACTTTTACCATTTTGTGGAAGCTCATGAATATAACTTTGACATGATTTTTATGGGGCAAAAATTCTTAGGGCCCGTGAAAGTCCTAATACAACCCTGGGTTCATTATTCTCTCTACTTTAGTATATGCAGTGTGTATTAGTTTCCTATGGCTGCTGTAACAAATCATGACAGACTTAGTGGCTGAAAACAACACAGATTTCTCATAGCTCTGGAGGCCAGAAGTCTGAAATCAGTTTCTCTGGGCTAATGTTAGTGTTGGCCAAGGCTCATTCCTTCTCAAGGCTCCTGGGGAGAGCCTGTTTCCTGCACTTTTCTCAGCTTCTAGACACACCTGCATTCTTTGCCTTGTGGCCCGTCCTCCATTTTCACTACTTCTATGCACAGGTCACTGCCCTGTCTTCTGTAGTTAAACCTCCCTCTGCATCCCTCTTTTAAGCACACCTGTGATTACATTTAGAATCCACTCAGATAACCCAGGGTTATCTCTGCTTCTCACATTCCTAACTTAATCACACCTGCAAAGTCCCTTTAGCCACCTAGGGTAACATTCCGAGGTTCCAGGAATGAGAACATGGACATTTGGTGGGTCTAAGTCATTATTCATCCTACCATACGGTGTGTGTTTGAAGTTTTCCGTGATAAAAAGTTTTACAAAAAGATACTTGAAAAGATATTTCCAGGGCGTCTGGATGACTCCGTTGGTTAAGTGTCTGACTCTTGGTTTCTACTCAGGTCATGATCTCCTGGTTGTGAGATTGAGCCCTAAGTGGGGTCCCACCTGCTGAGCATGGGCCCTGCTTGGGATTTACTCTCTCCCTTTTTCTCTCCCTCTCCTCTCCACTGCTCGTTCTCTCTCTCTCAAAATAAAGAAATTAAAAAAAAAGATATTTCCTCCTACAAAGCCTAAAACAAGACAATTAAGAATAACTCTTTTTGGGGCACCTGGGTGGCTCAGTCGGGTAAGCGGCCAACTTCAGCTCAGGTCATGATCTCACAGTTCATGAGTTCGAGCCCCACGTCAGGCTCTGTGCTGACTGCTCAGAACCTGGAGCCTGCTTTGAATTCTGTGATTCCCCCTCCCTCCCTCCCTCTCTCTCTCCCTCCCTCTCTCTCTCTCTCTCTCTTCCTCTCTCTCTCTTCCAAAAATAAATAAACATTAAAAAAAAAAAAAAAAGAATGGGGTGCCTGGATGGCTCAGTCGATTAAGCGTCCGACTTCAGCTCAGGTCATGATCTCACAGTTCGTGGGTTTGAGCCCCGTGTCGGGCTCTGTGCTGACAGCTAGCTCAGAGCCTGGAGCCTGCTTCGGATTCTGGGTCTTCCTCTCTCTCTGACCCTCCCCTGCTCACACTGTCTCTTTCTCAGGAATAAATAAAACATTAAAAAAATTTTAAAAAAAAGAATAACTCTTTTTTCTCCTCAGCCATAGCAGGTCAGAGAGAGAAACTCACACAGGTAAGTTCAAGGATGGAGATGATCTGCCGGTGATGCCTACAAAGGTACGTGGGTGTTTCTTTGGTGGGGCAGGCTCTTCTGCAGAGCAGTGGGTACATTACTCATCTTTTGTCTCGGGTTTTTGTTTAGATGTCTTTCTATTGTTGTTGTTAATTAACTAAAGAATGAAAATGGTCTCCAGGCAGAAGAACATAGTGGCCAGAGAAGAAAAAAAAATACAGACTGGTGGGTCCTTCAAAAAACCAGCCATGCAAATCAAATCCCAAAATAATACTAGACCCCAGTAGCCTAAGAGGGGGCTATCTCTAGGGATGCAGAAGGGACTGGACTTTGGCTTGATGGAAAATGTCTCACTTTTAATGAGTCTTTCATTTAACTTAATTTGTCTTAATTTGACTTAATTGTATAAAAGTGTGTGTTTGTCTGTGTGTGTGTGTGTGTGTGTGTGTGTGTGTGTGTGTGTGTGCGCACATGTTCATATACAGGTCTGCGATTTTAACACATATGCAGATTCATGAAACTACTCTGATAGTCAGGACCAGAGCGGTCCCACCACACAGGGAAAACTCCCTCGCCCTGCCCGTGCATAGTCACGTTTTTCCTCCACCCAGAACTCCTGCCTAGCATTCACGGATCTGTTCTCTGTGGCTGTCATTTTGTCTTTTCAAGACTGTCATATAAATGGGATTTCACAGTATGTACCTTTTGAGATTAATTGTTTTGACATCATAGTGCCCTTCAGATCCTCCCGAGTTGTGTGTGAATCAAGAGTTTCTTCCTTTTTATTGCTGAGTAGTATTCCATGGTGTGCAGGATAAGTGAGTGTTTATCCAGTCACACGGACATGTAGGTTGTTTCCGGTTTGGGGCTATTACAAACAAAGTTGCTATAATGTTTGTGTACAGGTTTTTGTAGGAACATGAGTTTTTGTTTCATTCAAGTAAATACCCAGTCCCAGGAATGGGATTGCTGGGTCATATGTCACGTATATACTTAACTTTATAAGAAACAACCAAATCATGTTTCCACTTTGCATTCCTACCAGCAATGAAACAGTTCCAGTTTTTCTACACCCTTGTCAGCACTTGGTGCTGTCCCTCTTTCTAGTTTTAGTCATTCCAGCGGGTGCGTAGTGATGTCTCATCATGGTGTTAGTCTGCATCTCCCTGATGGCTGGTGATCTTCCGCATCTTTCTGTGAGCTCATTGTGATACTCATTTTTAAAAGGTAAGCACGTGACTCCTGTCCTTTTTCTCTCTAAGCATGAACATGAAAACAGAAGGAAGCCAAAGATGCTTCAGGGTTGCTCGTGAGGGGCTTAGGAGGGGAAGATGGTGGTATTGGTCATGAGTGAGGGGGGCCACATGACCCTGTGTTAAAGGAAGGATGTCTCATGGACACCTAGGCTGCTGGTCAGTCCTGTGCAGGGAATGAAGATCCTGACAGGGGTTTAGCACTGAGGGCTAACATTTGAGACAGGGGCAGATTAGTGGGAGACAGAGGAGCCTGTGGTCTCGGGGAAGGGCGAGGTCACAGAGGTAATGGAAGGTGAGAGCAAGGTGCTATGAATCTTGCGCCAGAGGGAAGGGAATGCAGTTTGGTTTTTGTTTCTTTTATGATTTACCTGTTAACAAATATACACGTTCTGCCCCATCCCCATCCCCTCCACCCCATTTTAATCACTCCAGTCCCTGCTGGAGGTCTGTCCCCATCACTCAGAGTGGCTGGGACTCACTCCATCCACACCAAGGCTCCCTTGGTCCCTGACACACACCCACGTCCCCTCTCACTTGGGGCCTTTGCAGGAACAGATCTTGCTGTGAGGGACACCCTCTCAGAGTCTTTCCTGGCCCCACCAAGAATCTACAGGGCCATGTAGAATGAGACTACTACAGACACCAACACAGACAGGACCCGGGCCAGGGCCCCCAAGCACCTATGTGCCAGCACTTGGAGTAGTAGCACCAGAACTCTTTCAACCACCCAGCATGTAGTCATGGGCTATAGCATCTGGCTCGTGTCTGGGAAAGGACTGGCCAAGGACCCAAGTGGAGGGATGAAGATGGTGTCTGTGAGGTCTGCAGCAGAGCACAGCCCTATTTTACTGTATTTGGTGCAGCATTGAGCCCCAGCAGGTTTTGGGATTTGTGGGGCCATTTAGAGGTGTGGAGTTCAGGCTTCCTGGGAGTGTCGGGGAGAGCCTTGCACAGAGCTTGGATGGGATGTCCTTGAGCCTGTCACAGCACTGATACTCGTGTTGCCCTGGGAATGTGGGAGTATGAAGCCAGGGGCCCTGGGCTCACCTGGCATGGGTCTTTCTGAGGCCTCAGGTTCTTCCCGTCTTCCTCCTCGCTGATGCTCCCGTCCTGGTGGTCGGTGAGAGATACCAGAACTGGGTGGGAGAGAGGGATGGTGAGAGGCTTGTGGGCCCAGAGCCCCCAAATCCCCAGGTTTCCTGCACAAGGTGGGCAACACATGCTAGGAACATCTCTGAAGACCCCCAGTGAGGCCAAGGCAAGGACAGTAGTGTGCCACCGCCTCCATCCTTCCGACAAGCTTCTAAATGCAGCCCCATCCCCCACCTGCTCCAGACCTTTCCACAGCTGCCAGGCCTGAGGCCATGGTGACCCCAGAGGCAGCTGAGGACAGGTCTTCTCAGCCAACACTCCATGCCCGCGGGTGCTCCTGAGAGGCCCATGAGGACATTTCCTGTGACACTGACTAACATGGAAAGCCTGGAGAGGAGTTTTTATGAGGTGGAATGTGGTCAGGTAGCAAAGATGGTTGAAGCAGGACCCCTTGGATCTACCGCAAAACACATTGTAGGAGGGACAAAAGCCAGGGCACAATAACAGTTACAGAATGTACACCATTTATAGAAGGTTTAGGACTTGGGAAGCAGAGCCACACACTGTTATGGTTACAAAATAAGAGGGGAAAGTACAAACATGCGCATGCAATGAGAAATTCAAGGCTTTGCCCCATCTAGAGCAACTGGGAGAGTGGGCGTGAGAGGAGTGTGAGGGGGCATGAGGATCCAGTGAACTCCATAGTGTGTCATTTCTTCAATAACAACCTAAGCTGCCTTAGGTTAGGCTCTGAGATGGCTTCATGGCAGTTACACGGGTATTCATTATAATACTTTCCATAGTTTTACAGGCTCAAAATGTGTCACATAAAAAGCAAATTGTTGCTTTGGAAAACAATTTTGCAGTTCCTGAGAAAGTTATACATAGAGTTACTGTATGACCCAGGACTTCTCCTTAGGTGTGTTCCCAAGGGAAATGAAAACATGTCCACACAAGTATCCATATGTGAATGTTCCTAGCAGCATTGTTCATCATAGCCCAAAGTGGAAACAACCCAGATGTCCATCAGTTGATGAATGGAGAAACAAAATGTGGTATATCCATACAATGGAGTATTATTCAGCCATAAAAAAGAATGGAGTACTGATATATTTTACAACATGGATGAATCTTGAAAACATTATGCTAAGTGAAAGAAGCCAGACACAAAAGGCCACATACTGTGTGATTTCATTTATATGAAATGTACAGAACAGGCAAATCCATAAAGACAAAAAGTAGATTTGATTAGGCAGGAGAGGAGGATGGAGAGTGACTGCTAGGTTTACTACTAAGGTTTACTTTTGGGAGGAATATAATGTTTTGGAATTAGATCATAATAATGGTTGCACAACTCTGTGAATATAGCAGGAAATCACTGAATTGTGTATTTTTAAATGGGTGAATGATATGGTATGGAAATTATGTTTCAATAACATTATTATTTTTAAAAAGCAAACAGGAAGGTAACATCACCAAAATATGACAGAGTAGGGAGCTCCCAAAATCAATCCCTCCACAATTAAGCAAGAATTAAGCTTGTAAAAACTTTCAGACTTAGCTTTTTGGGAACTTGAATCTGATTTAAAGAGAAAAAAAAAAAAAGGATGAGGGAATGCTTAATGAGAAAGGAGCTATTCGATTTCAATTAGAAGGTGTTGTGGCATTTTTACTTACCTGCCTAACAACCCCACTCCCCAGCTAAAAGGGGCTGTGGGTGGCAATCCATGTTATTGGCATGGCTTGCTGAAGCCACAGGGGGCAGGACAGATCTTGTTCCCAAAGCATTGCATTTGTGTGTTTTGACCTCTCTGAAGGATTGGTTCAGGGTCTGCCTTTGTTATATCCTCTCAGAACCCTCAGGACTAGAGTAGCCTCCTGCACAGCATTTGGCAAAAGCATTTAAAAGCACCTACTAGTCACTTGAAGTAAGGGACGAGTGGAGCAAGCAGATTTTTGGTCTAGAGAGACCAAAAAGCCTAGGAAAGAAGAGTCTGGAGAAAGAAGTACATGTGTGAGAATAAGAGCTTTACTAGAGAGTTTAGCAGGCCATGCATGTGCTCGCTCGGGGCTAAACACATGGTTGGAAACATGAGAAGATCCCAAGCTTTCATCTCTGGTTGATCTTTAGGCTGCATTAACTGGGAAGTGAAGACTTAGGAGAGTTGTAAATGGAGTGGCTAAGCATTGAAGGAAGACCTCAACGCAGAGCCAACCTACAAAAACCAGAAGAGTTTTGTTTTGTTGCCTCCAGGCATTTAAGGAAATCTCTGTCACATCACTAGCTAACCATTCTACTACAAAGAATGTCGTTTTCACAAAAATAGTTTAGAAATGTTATCAGAATAAACCATTAAATCCACAATAAGCATAAACAGGCCCTGGAGAGGGAAGAGAATCTGATCTCCAGAATTATCACATTATATTATCAAATATTAAAAATTCTCAGTTTCCAACAACAAATTAAGAGGCGTACAAAGAACCAAGAAAATATACCTCATTCATAGGAATAAGAAGAAATTAATGGAAACTGTCCCCAAGGAAGCCCAGACACTGGACTTACTAGACAAAGATTTGAAATCGACTGTCTTAAATACCTTCAAAGAGCTACAGGAATCCATGAACAAAGAGCTATCAAAAATCAGGAGAATGATGTTCTCAACAAATAAAGGATATCAATAAGGAGAAATTATAGAAAGGAACCAAACAAATTCTGAAACAGAGTACAAGAACTAAAAATTTGCTAGAGGGATTCAATAGCAGATTTAACCTGGCAGAGAAAAGGATTAGTAAAATTGAAGATAGGTCAATTAAAATTGTACAGTCTGAGGAGAAGAAAAATAAACAGTGCCTAGGGGACTTGTGGGAACACCATAAAACAGACACCACACCAACAGACATATAGTGGGGATTCCAGAAGGAGAAGATCAAGAGAGAGTCAAAATATTTTTTAAAAAAATAGTGGCCAGAAACTTCCTAAAATAGATAAAATACATGAATCTACACATTCAAGAAGCTAAACAAACTCCAGTATGATGAACACACTGAGACACACTGTAATCAAACTGTCATGTGGTTCAACATATCAAAATCAAGCTTTGTACTGCACCATATTTATAGATCACATGATCATCTCAAGTGACAAGGGAAAAGCATTTGATGTAAGCCAGCACCCTTTCCTGATAAAGCATCATAATTTTGAGAGACTGAAAGCTTACCCCCAATCACGAACAAGGCAAATATATTTGCTTTTACCACTTGTATTGAACATTGTACTGGAAGTTCTAGCCAGAGCAGTTAGGCAAGAAAAAGGGGGTGGGGGGTGGGGAGGCATCTAAATTGGAAAGGAAGGGGTGCCTTGCTGGCTCAGTTGGTGGAGCATGTGATTCTTGATCTCGGGGTTGTGAATTTGAGCCCCACATTCGGTGTAGAGACTTCTTAAAAATAAAATCTTAAAAAAGTAAATTGGAAGGGAAGAAGAAAAACTATCTCTATTCACAGATGGCATGAGCTAATTAGTGAATTCAGCAAAGTTACAGGACACAATATCAACACATAAAAATTAGTTGTGTTTCTATAAAACATCTGTGAATAACCCCAAAGGGAAACTAAGAAAATTTCATTTATAATAAGAATCAATTCTATTATAGACTCAAAAAGAATAAAATACTTAGGAATAAATTTAGCCTGGGAGATACAAGACTTATACATTGAAACCTGGAAAACTACTGCAAAAGGAATTTAAAGGAAATCTAACTAAATAACATGATTATTTATTATTAATAAACACATTTTGTGTTCATGGATTAGAAAATTTAATATTATTAAGATGGCAAAACTACTTAGTGATCTACAGGTCCAATGTAATCCTTATCAAAACCCCAACAACCTTTTTTTCCTTGTTTGCAGAAATGGAAAAGCTGGTCCTAAAATTTATATGAAATTGCCAGGGACCCAGAATAGTCAAAACAGTTCTAAAATAGGACAAAGTTGGAAGACACAAACCTCCTGATTTCAAAAATTACTACAAGGCTGCAGTGTTGGCATAAAGACAGACTTGTAGAATGGAAAGGCATTGGGAGTCCAGAAGTAAGAAGCTACGGCCAATTGATTTTTCGCAAATGTACCAGGACCATTCAGTGGGGGAAAGAAGACTTTTCAACAGTGGTGCTGGGACTACTGGTAATCCACATGCCAAAGAATAAAATTGGACCCTTAGTTAATACAGTATACCCAACAGTGCTTGCCAAATGCCCATCCTTGGATCTTCTGCTGTTTCTCTTCACCTGCCTCTCCCCTCCTGGATTGGCTGTGCACCCACTAGCTGTTTGGTATTGACCATTGTCCAGGAACCCCCTGATGGTGGATGCAGAGCTCTTGCTCTCAGGAAGCTCACATGAACTAGGACATAGAACAGACATGCAGGGAAAGGACAGACCCTAAAAACATCATAGAGGGGTGAGGGCCCCAAAGAACACGAGTGGGGTCTTGCATGGTAGCCTCTCAGAGGGATGGATGTCTAAGCCAGGCCTAGAAGATGAGCTGGCTACCCCTGGATCCAGTGAGGGTCAAGGCTGCTGGCTGTAGGAAGGGAAGGCCCTGGAGGCAGGTGATCAGAGCACCCAGCCAGGGTGCAGGGCCAGTGCCGCTGCAGGGCTAGCATTGGAGGAGCTGACAACTCTCTCTGCTGCTGTGTGAACAGAAGGCAGGATGATGGATGTGGGGGAGACATTAAACTTTTGATTACTGAGGCATCCATTTCAAATACATCCGTCTGGAATAAACATATTTGTAACTGTATGACACAGCCTCCAGCAAAAAAGCAGATAAGGAATTGGGCAGTCCCCACTCATGGAGGTCGCTCTTTTGGAAAGCCCTGGGTAGTCCAGATAACTGACAGTCTGGGTGACACATTTCTACTTTCTCACATCCTAATTCCCACTCTTCTGCTTTGAAGTAGCCAATGAAGAGTATATTTCTAAGACCCCAGACAGCCTCCCTCCAATAAAAGCAGAGCCCCAGGCATGCGATCTCTCCCATTGCTCTCCCTCTTTTGTCTGAGAGTATCACTATCAATAAGTAGGCTGCACTGGGCGCAACACTCCTTGGCACCCAGGTTCACCGCTGGGCCAGAGGGAGGGACACCCCATGGACTAAGATGAGGAGAGACCTGTTCCGTTCCGATATCTTTCCAGACACAAGCCCTCAGGGACTTCAAGTGGATATATTAGGTCTGTCTTCACCTTGCACTTGGGCCACAGTGACTGGAGACGACCACCCACAGAAAGAGAGCCAGGCTCCCACTGGATTTCACCTGGGCTTCAGGCACCCCATCCACAGCCCTGCCTCAGCCAGCCCCCGGACACATCTCCTCCTCAGTGCGCACCTCTTCCTGCCCCTTCCCACTCACTATGCTCTGGGAGCTTCCCTGCCCAAGGAATGAAGCTTAATCTTGAGGCAGCAGCATGCAGATGCCACCTGCCTGTGTCCCTGACTTCCAGGCATTCACGCAGCAGGCAGAAACGCCTGCCTCCTCATGTCCAGCCACCTGCTGCTCCAACTATCTTACTGTCCACAGGACCACAACTTGTGCAAAACATGTATGCAACCCCCTGCTGAAAAATGACACAGAACCTCAAGATGGCAACAACAGAGTATTAATGCCAGCCTGGGCCTCCTGAGCTTGAAGCCTGGCAGACTGTGTGGGTCCACCAGGGGCCAGACACAAAAGCCTCTTGGCCTCTTTGTCCCTGGAACAGTGAGTTCCAAGGGCCACTGTATCTGCCTTGCACGTCTTCATACCACAGGAACCCAGGAACGAGACTTCATGATGGCATTCAGTGCCTTCCAACTTGGACTATACTCTTGCCTCTGCAAAACGGGACATGCAGCTTTCCCCAGCAGGTCAGCCAGCTTCTTGCGGGCAGTGTGGAGACCTGGGACCCCTGTTTTCTGTAGATTTCAAGGCTTTTCTAAATTGAGAAAAGTTGCCTGAAGACAACCTGATCACAGCACCAGTGCCAGTTGGCCTCCTCCTGATGTTGTGATGAGGTCTGCATTTTTGTTGACATAACTAGGAAAGAGGGAGCCCATTTTATGGGCCTGGGAGGATGGGAGTTCTGCAGAGTCACAGGGGCAAGAAAGCATGAGGACAAAGCACCTGCAGGGGGGACGGGAGCCCTGGGCGGGCGGCATCAGACTCGTCTGTGGACCTTGCAGCTACCGGAGCTCTGCCCCACCTGCCGAGCTCTCTCCAGCTCTGTAACGACGGCGGCCCCGGGAGCCTGTCTCCACAAGCAGCCTGTGGGCCTGAGATGGGCCTGAGCCCCACGGACTGGATGCGGGAGAGGGACTAGCCACCTCCAGGATCCCTGGACAGGGCCTGAAGTGGGACGGACATGGTCCACAGCATCTTGCGAGGGCTGAGGGACCCAGGGTCCTCCTGAGGGAGAGCAGACAAATGCAAAGCCACAGGCCAGATGGATACATGGTAAAATGGAGGACTCCTCAATTACCGACTGAGCGAGAGAAGTGAGGCAGACAGAGGTGTGCGGCACAATGACATTTATGTAAAAAAAAAACCAAAATCAAAAACACAGGTGTGTGATACGACAATGTGCACTGGGTAGGACATGTACAGGCAGGGGGGCTGCTCAGACGGTCTGGGGCGCTGCTGGTCGGGAGAGGGAACGGGACAGGAGCGGGTGGGGGTCGGCGGGAGCAGGGCTGGGTGGATGCGACACTCTGAGTCCGAAAGGAAAAAGAAGCGCGATCCTTGGGCACCGGGCCACGGAGACACTGGCCAGAACCCAAACCCGGCACCTGCTCCTCCCCTGTAGCCACTCGCTCTCAGGGGTGAGGCCCGTCCCCTCACCTTCCTGCTGCGACATCTGTGTGAGGTCCTCCACCAGGCTAGCGGCCTCCCTGCAGGTGCGGGGGCCCTGCGACTGCACCCAGGTCCTCATCTTGCTGGGCAGCGCCCCCAGGAACTGCTCCAGCACCAGCAGCTCCAGCATCTGCTCCTTGGAGTGCGCCTCGGGCCGCAGCCACTGGCGGCACAGCATCCAGAGCTGGCCCAGTGCGCGGTGTGGCCCGCCTGCCACACGGTACTGGAACTGTCGGAAGCGCAGGCGCCAGGCCTCAGTATCCCCAGGGCTGTCCAGCTGAGGGGCCCTGTCCTGGTCCCTCAGGGCTGGGGGCTGGGAACTCCTGGGGGAGGCGAGGGCTCTGGCCAGCGGGAGCATCTCTCCGGCCTCAGGGGGCAAGCGAACTGGATCCCAGGACAGTCCCAGCGGCTCCAGACAAACCCGGGTGGCAGCAGGCAGACGCAGTCAGCAGTCAGGGGCCTGCAGAGAGGGGCAGGCGCAAAGTGGCCGCATCAGATGGTGGCCATCACCTTGCTCAGGACTCTCATTAGCTCCCCACCTCCTTGCCCTGACCTCCAGCTCCCGAGGAGCTGGCCTGAGTCCTCCCCGTCTCATTCTGACCTGATCTGCCGTATGGCCTTCATCGGCTACAGTGTGAAGACACTGGTGCACTGGTGACCCTAGGGCCTTTGCACCTACTGTTCTAACCACATTCCTCTCTAATGCTCGTGCCAGCTCAGCTGTCACCACAGCAGGGTGTCACCACGCTCTCGTTCAGGATGTTATCCTTGTCTTCTCAGCCACGCTGTGTGGTCTTCACAACCCTTATCTCATCATGAACATATCTCATTTCCTTACTTAGCTTAGTATCCATTTCCCTCCTTCTTTCATACAGTCATTCAACACACAGTTTACAGAACATCGAGGGGGACAGGACTCCTGCCATGGTGGAGTAGCCAGCACTGTCCAGCAGAACTTCCTATGGGGTTGGAAATGGTCTCCATCCGCACTGTCCAACATGGTAGCCACCAGTTACAGGTGGCTCCTGAGCACTTAAAATAAGGAACAGGAGTTTAAGTCCCCTTTAAACGGAAACAGCCGGATATGCTATGCCATAGTGCAACAGGGGCCTCCTGCCTTGCCTATGTTGTCTTTTTAGCCTTTCCTACTTGCCTATGCTGTCTACTCCTGGCCAAGTTAGAGCTGAGGGAAGAGGTGGTGAGGAGGACAAGGGAGGGATAGAGACTTTAACAGCAGAGGGAAAGTGGAAAGGGCAGGGAGAAAATAGCATTTTGTGCATTTTCCAAGCTTCCTATAGTGAACATATAACTTAAATGTTAGCCATAAAAATAAAAACGAGAATTTTTTTTTTTTTTTAACACTTGTACTCTGTGCTGATCCGATGGTGAAAGTAAAAGCTGGCACGACCTTTCTGGAAAGCACTGTGGAAGCTTGTCTATCAAGACGATTCTGGAAGTTCGCATGCTGTGGAATTTATCTGAAATTGGGACAAAGATTTAGGCACCAAGATTCACAACAAAAGTGCCCAACAGTCAAGCCTGGCGGAATCAACTACCCTCCCATCACATGGCAAAGAATTTAGGACTGCAAAATACACAGTAATAAAACATGCTCAAGGGAAGCACAGACATGACATATAGATGACATGAAGTACAGGGGAAAGTGGGATGCAAAATGATGTATGAGGGTCCCAAAAAGGGCCACTGGGAAAGAGGCCCGAGTGTGGCCAGCCATATGCCCCGTGTTCTTCCTACTTCTCTGAATCTCCCCCGAATGGTATTGTGATCATGTGTGTGGGGGGCGGGGAAAAAAGAACAAAAACACTGAGAAGGATTTTTAATGACATGGGAAATGCTTAATGACAAGTGAAAAGTGAAGGAACATTCCACGTGACTTTTTCCTTCCGGATCCTCTGGAGAACTTTTCATGTGCACGTGTGTGGGTTTTACAATCAGGAAGACAGGAGAGGTGTACCAAGGCAGGGAGGGCAACTCACGAGGGCCGTGCCCTGCCAGTAAGCTTCCAGTCTGCTTCCTGCCGCCAGCACCCTGAGTGGAGTTTACAAGCTCCGTCACCCCTGCTGAGACCACAGGCAAAAACACTCTTACGCTGTAGCAACACTTTCCTATATGTAGTTTTGAAAACGTAAAAGGGCCCGTTTCGCAGCTCCACAGGGTTCAAGCAGCCGTTCTGCTCTGGGATCTCAGACCTTACCCTTCTCGCCGGTGAGCAGGGAAGTGCGCCCCGGGGAAGATTCCAGGGTGGAGAACTGCAGCCCCTCAGCACCCTCCAGGGTCCTGGGACGAAGTCTATGTGGGGAGAAGTTGAGTTTATGGAGGATGTAGAGGGGATCAAGTGGGGCCCCTAGCTGAAAGCACCCAAGGCCTATGGGCACGTGTCTGGGGTCCACTGGTGGGGGAGATGATGTCGTCAGGTGGCGATGTGGGCCAGATGGGGAGCCCAGGCTGATGAGGGGTCCCGGAAGATGCAAGGGTCTTAGGCTGATGGGGTGGGGACTTGACGTCTGTGCAGCGAGGAGGCTCTGGGGCCTACACGGGGAGAGCTGTGGTCTTGAGGTCCTGGAGATCCACTCTGGGGGTAATCTAGATTGATGTCAGGGGGTCTCTGAGTGTCACTTGGGGGGCTCAAAGCCTCGTGGACAGGCCAGGCTTACCTGGGGTGGGCAGTGACATCTGCCGCTGACACTGTCAGGTTCGGGATGCTGGCTGGTGGGGGGAGGGGAGGCTTGGGCTGGGCGGAGGGGGGTCCGGAGCGGACGAACGAGGGTGGAGGGGCTTTCTGCCCCAGCTGCTGGGGAGGGGGATGCCAACCGGGGCCAGGGCTAGGCGGAAGGGCGCGCCGCGGCCCCCTGCCCCCCTCCACCTCCGCCCCCCGCGTCGCCTGCGAGCCTCGCCCGTCTCCCTCATCCCAGGGCACCTCGGACCCCCCCACCCCCCCCGACGGCTTCCCCGACCCGGCTCGGCCCCGCCGCCTGCCCCGGGCTGCGCCTCCGCCCCCTCCCCCCACCCCCGAGCCCGGACTCGTCTCCACCCGCGCTTCCTCTAAACGCGATCCCGGCCAGCGCCCGCCGAATCCTGCACCCTCGGCCCGCGCCGCGGCCCCTTCCCGCGGCCGGCCAGCCCGGCGGACGCACTGACGATCGAGGGACGGGAGGCGAGACGGCCGGACGGGCCGCGGCGGACTCACCGCGCGCGGGCTCCGCTCCGGCCAGGGCCGCTCAGTCATGGCGGCGCCTCGGCTTGCGAGCGAGCCCTGCCGCCGCGGCGCGGACTACAACTCCCAGAACCCCGCGCGCCGCGGGCGACCGCCATTGGCTCGGAGGGGTGCACAGAATCGTCCCCGAGCATCACGCGCCACCGAACCCCCTGGCGGGGGAGGGGGTCGTAACGCACGGGGCTTCTCTGACCAATCGGAAGCCGCCTGGAATAGGTCCTTCGCCCCCGCAACGCCCTAGAGTTACCCTGGAGGGATTCGGTCGCCACGGCAACCGGGCACGCCGCGGCGCAGCTACGTGAGGATGGTGCGGGGGACTGGGTAGCACGATGGGGAGGGCTGCCCGAGCGCTCTCCTCTCGCGATGCGCTTGCCACACGAAAGGCAGAAATTCTATTTAAACAACGTGGTTTCTTGTTTGTTTGTTTGTTTGTTTTACTGTAAGAGTTTCCCACATTTCGTATGTTAAAAATATTTTTAAATGTAAGGCTGTTTTAATACAACATGTTCCAGAATAGGATTGCCAGGTTGAGCAAATAAATAACACAGGTGGCACAGAATTGCAGATAACAGCCATTTTTCTTTTTAGTATTCATGGGTTTCACATTTAGTGTATCTTTTAAAAATTAGAAAATATATGTAGAGTAGAAGTGATTTATAGTGTAGCTGTGTCCCACAGTAGACTTGCCAGATTTAGTAAATAAAAATACAGGGTGCCCCCCAAAATATAGGATGCCCACCTAAATTTAAATCCCGGGTGAACAATAAGTACTCTTTAGTGTAACTGTTACCCATATTGATTATATTTTTAAAACAAATATATTCAGTATAACCTTTTTAACGTATGTGTATGTCAGAGTAGGGTTGTCAAATTTTGCAAATAAAAATGTAGGACAACTCCTAGTAAAATCTGAATTTCAGGTGAATTTTTTTTAGTATCTATATGTTCCAATAGTATAGTTGGGATATAAGTAATAATAATAAATACTATGTTAATTACAATAATGTATCTTATTATTTATCCGAATGGTATATTTGGGACATATTTAAACCAAATTCTGATACCAAATATTCTTCTAAATACTAATGATATATTTTAGTGTATGCACATCCCAATAGTATGTTTAGAATATACTAAAAAGTTATTACTTGAAATTCAGATTGGGAGAAAGATAATGATTCAAGGGGGTTTCACAGCTCTGGGACTGGGCTTAAGGTGGCTACAGCCAGTGCTGAGATGGGGTAGCAGGAGGATGTGAGTAGGGTTGGGGACCTAATAAAGGATACGGGGACCCCACTTCCCGAAGCCTAGGACCGAATGTCATTTATCCGCTGGACAGCAGCACCTACCAGGTGCTGTTCTGGACCGGATGTGAGGGAGACACATCAGTGAGCAGGACTGATGTGGCTTTGGTTTCTGAGGGCCCACAGTTTACGTACAGGTAAACAAAGAAAGCAGATGCTTGCTGGAAGTGTAAGTGCCTTAGAGAAAATAAAAGTAGGCAGAAAAAATAAAGTCTCAGGAGTGGCAAGAGGGACTACTTAGCTGGGTGGTCAGAGCTGAACCTCTCTATCATCTCTGGCTGGCTGCTGGTCCCTGGAGTGTTGAATTCAAGCAGGTGCTTGCTGTGTGGAGAAGCCACAGACGGGAAAATAAAGTCCAAATGCTGAGGGTTTGTTATTTCCTTCTTGTAAATTATACACACGTAGTGACCTGAGTTCTCTGGCTTATTTTCTTGGTAGGTGAAATTGGCGTGACCTTTTGGTCTTATTTATGTATTTATAACTCTGCAAGACACCTCAGGAAATTGCCTTTGAGAGAGCATTCACTTTGTTTCTAGAGCTGGGGTGGAAGACACTGTGGTCATTAGGCAGCTTGAATGCTAGATCCACTGGGAGGCAGTCTGGTGCCAGACAAAGGTTTCCAAACAATTTATAAGCCGCAGAAACTTTTGTTCCAAACGACTCTGAAGTAAATTTCCATTTAAAAGGAAGTTGGCTGGAAGCAGAACGGTTGTGATTGCCAGGGGCTAGAATGAGGAGGGATGGGGAGCTGCTTTGTCGTTTGGCGACGTGACCCGGAACAGACTTGCTGGTATCTGTATTTTTGAATGTGGGCCTGGAAAGTTTGGTCCTTTCCTCCGCGAGACCAGTAGTCTTCAGATCTCAAGGGAGGTAGGCTCTTTCTTTCTGGTACAAACCAAGGAACTTAGGTCAGCAAGCGAGGGGTGCATAAGCTTGAAGCAAGTTAACCCGCAAGACTAGGTGCAGTGCTAGATTATGAGATGGCCATGCCCCAGGCTCTGCCGAGTACAGTGACTGCCCCCTCCTGCCGGCCCACGACTGAGGGTGTCCGTGGAAAGCGGTGGAACTCGGGTGGGTCGTCCCCCAGCTCTGTCCTGGCTCGTGAAACAGCCTGTGCCCGAGCCACACTTCCCTTGTCCTCACCACTTGCCGCCCTGCCCCGGTCAGTTACTCACCCGCCCCTGCCGGCCTTGGCGAGAAGACCTGTGTTCCCGTCCTTCCTTTGGATCCTGGCCAGGGACCTCGTGTGCTTCCCAGGCCCAGCCACTTGTCCACTTCGGGTGGCCCTGGGTGAACATCTTGGCCCAAGATGAGGACCGTGGAAAGCCAGGCAGCTCCCCGGCCAGCAGGGGCTAGGCCAGGCCAGCATCTGTGCTGAGCCTCCTCCAGTGACGCTCCTGGGGGACACTAGAGAAGACAGACGCTGTCCTCTGGGAGACAGAGCACCAAACACCCACTGACATAATAGCCCTCCTAAGCAACCTAGGCCTCTGGGACCATGAAAGTCCTGCTAGGCCTAGCAATTTGGGCAGGTTGTGGTCCACTGCACACACCGGCACCCCTGGGCCCTGGCCACTCCCAGCGAATGCCGGCCCCCCACCCCGCAGAGCTGGCTACAGCCTGCTGCCCAGGGCGGTTCTGGATAAGGTACCACACACCCCGCCGTCCCAGGCCCTGGCCCCGTAGTCATCTCCTGCTCACTCTACAGGCCCAGGGGCAGGTCAGGGGAGTCGTGTGCCCCTGGCCACCCAGGCGCCTCTCTGTCCCTGCAAGGCTTGCTGGAGTTGGTGGCCTGGGGAAGGTCCAGGGGTGGTCCGAGTCGGGCCCCACACACCCCACACCATGCCAGCCAGGCGACCCGGGAGTATCTTGAAACTTACAAAGGTTTCTGGGCTGAGGGGCCCCGAGCAGGTCCTAGGCAGGTCTGAGTCAAGATCTAGATACCCCAACCCTGCAGTCCTTTGCCAGGCCTGACATCTCCCAGACCCTGCAGGGCTTGCTAGGCCAAGATCCAGGTCAGGCTCCACAACCCAGCCCCTGACTGCTCTGGATACCCATGGCGTCTCCCAAACCCAGCTGGGCTTGCTGGAGCCGAGGGCCCAAGGCAGGTCTGCGGCAGGTCACAAATGCCCTGCGCCTGCGGGCTCTGATCAGGCCTGGTGTCTCCCAGAACCTGCAGGTGTCCTGGGAGCCTGAGGCCAGGGGTGGGTCCAGGTCAGGCCCCACAAGCCAGCACTGTGCCCGTCCTGGCCCTCCAGTGTCTCCAAACCTGCATGGCTTGCCTGAGCCCATGGCCCAGGACAGGTCTGGGTCAGGCCCTACAACCAAGCACCGTGCCAGCCCTGCCCCCCGC